CGAGGTTGGATAGGTGACTATACTCCTTGTCAAGTACAATCGGGGAATCGAAACCACGCCAATTGACACAATAACAGACCTTTTGATACAGCGCGCACATGCTAACCATTCGACCATCCATCCCCACCTTCAAATAAAGGAACAAGCAATTCGATACATCCATCGCCCTCCAATAGCTTTCTATTGTACATAAAATAGAAATGCATGGCGTTCGGTCACGGCAAATTGCCACAGTAGTCAGCTAATATTCTCGGTTGCTGTGATTCTTTATTATTCTTTGGGTAAGGGGGTGTGGTGGAGGTTGCCCGAATGGTTAAGTTTTGTCATTGAGTCAACTGGCATGGTTTCGATTACCAACTTGTACGTCACAAGGAATGGATTCGCCGTCTAAACTCGTGGATTTTCTCCTGCTCCCCTGGTTTCCACCATAGCTAACGACATTATGTGCAATCGAATTATAGTGTGTCTGTTTCTCTCTCTCCCTCGACTGTTTTGAGTTTGAAATGGCCCACTGACAATAATTGGCTTTGGCTGTTTATTCTATAATAAAGGCCCAGCATACGAAAAAGTACGTTTTCCAAGTTGCAATATGTAATTGAATAGCTGGAGATTTTAGAAAATCTTTTGTCTTAGAACTGAGATTTCTACTGCATGTAGTTGAGATTTTACAATATTTTTTTTTTTAACATAAGATGTGGATTAAAAATATTTATTTAATTTTATTTTCTTGGAGTATGGAGGCGGTCGTTGTGTTGTCGGGTAGTTGTTGTAGTTGTAGTGCAAGAGAAGGGTATGGGTGTCATTATGTCCGTTGATTTTTGTCATGGCGGCGAGCAATATTTTCCATTTCTTATGTTTATAACATTTATTTCTTTGAGTTAAAGGTAAACGAAATGGGGTTTAACGTCCGACTGGGCTAATGAAGACAGGAATACGCCATATCGTGTCCTATAGATAAGGGAAATTCTGCCCGAGACCAGCGCCAATCCAGCTGCCAAGAATTATTTTACGTCTCATCCGAATGAGTATACGTTGTCCTGCACCAGTGACAAGGGGGAACCACGCCGGTGGATTTCGGTGGATTTTCAGTATGATGCACATGGAAAGGTCATCTATATCTACAACTTGGTACCAAAAAACCTTCTAAAGCAATTTGTGGTGGGTCTGTCAGTATTTTGACCAGACCAATACTCCAATAGACTATCGCGAGACTAGATTCACGCATATTACTGTTATAGAAGTCTTCCATGTGAGCTATTGCGGGACATTTTGGCTGGTTTTCGGGACACGGGACTTGGAAACATTTTGCGGGACGGGTGGTCACCCTAAGTTCATTACCGATTTTACCGGGTCAGTAGAGGCTACTGTATGTTATGGAATGTTGGCTGTACATCTGCAGGTACAAACGACGGAGCCGTGACTTTCCTAAAAATGTTTTGTTCATCAATGTTTTGTTAATTGTTTTTCTTTCATGTGCTTCATGATGAAATAATAACATGGTTAAGTACACAACACCTTAGTATTTCAAAGAAAACAAATGTATTAAAACAAACACAACTATCAATTTATTAAAAGAACAATATCAATTTTATTAAAACAACAGTTTTTTTATTTCAAAATCAGATTGGTCCGAGTGGTCTTCTAATCTTGGTCCGAGTGGTATTCAAAGAAAACAATTGTATTAAAATAAATACAACTATCACTTTATTTGTTGGGATGAGTGATCTTTGAATATCTGGGCCGGATTGTCTTTGAAATGGGTTTTCTGGATACCGTCATTATTGTTTGTGTATCTTATGTATGAAGATAACAGGTCATTGTTGTTTGTGTAACTCATAAATGAAGATGGCAGGTCTTTCTTGTTTGGGTGAGTGTACATTATATTCCATAATTTAAATTAGAAATATAAATGTAAAACAGTTTATGTCCTGAATCGACAATTGTAGATCAAAACACTAAGTATACTTCGAGAATTTTGATAAGTATTTCTTCTGCTTCCATTTAATAAAATTGAGAAGGTTTAATTACTCTTTATGTGTATAACGGATGTGAAACGGAGTAGAATCGCATTACGAAACAGTATACTAATTATTGGATATGGCGGCCATATAGGGCGGAGACCTCTATTCTCAAAGTAGAGAGGATAATAGCTCTGTGTGTGCAGAATGGACATTATATAAACATTTGTGTCCCGATGTATTAAGAGTAGGGGCCACAGTGGCTCAGTGAATAGTCTTACTGTCGGCTCCCTATCTTAATTTTTTGAAACTAGCCCGTTTACGGCTTGTAGTTGCAGTAATCCGGGGTTGACGGGCGTTGTCCAGTGTCTAGCAACATTGTATAAACAATGCGCACAGTCGAGCGCAACAGCAATAAAAACCACCAGGACATCGATGTACACCATCAGGCAACTTTTAAAAATAGACACAAACCTTAAAGTCATCTATCTGCTCCGTGATCCAAGGGCGACAACTCTATCCCAACTTTACGGAGGCAGACCACCATTAATTTCCCCATTGACTTCAATGTTAATTCTGGCCTCTTTGCCCACCTCCAACTTTTCCCCAAATTTCCGTTGGGCTGAATGCTTTTCACTACAGACAGAGGAACAAATGGTCATGTCTTTGCACTAAAATTTGTATGAGGTTGACCACTAAAATTTTGAGATACACAAACTTGAAGAAGCATACTAAAAACATGTAACTAGTTGCCGTACATATCGCCGTAGTTAATCTGATAGCCCTCTTATCCTTCCGCCTCAAAATCATAAATATTTACCAAGACCTGGCAGAAAATGTTAATTCAAACCCTCTTCGTCCATTCTAGACCAAAAAATCAACAAAAATGGGCATGCAAAAGGGGAGAAAAGAGAGAGAGAATTGCTATAAATAGACGAACTACAATTCGTGGGTACCGAGATGGTGAAATTTAATGGTGGTCTGCCTCCTATTACATTTAAAGCGCGCGGACCCTCCTCTTACAACAGAACGTCACAGAAACTTTGTTACACGAGGTGGTTAGATATCGTCATGGCAACCAAACTAATGAAGCAGCATCCGGATAGAATTATAGGATTGATGTATGAGGATTTAATTCGCGATCCGTATAAAATAGCCAGAAGAATGTTTGAATTTATCGGATAAGAATACGATGACGACGTAACTGATCATATTAAAGCCATTACAAACGGAAAAAGGGACGGCAAATGTGTCACGTGTGTCAGTCGGAAGAACTCGACGAAAACCGCGTTACGTTGGCGACAGGAGATAAATCATAAAGGTGTGTTAGCCGTGGATGAGAATTGTCAGAAAGTAGCTAGTGTACCGAATGACAGGGTATTTACCGGTTCTTTAAATGACATCTTGTGTTGTGTTTTGTTATGAATATTTACCGGTATCAGGAGGAAATGACATATCCGAGATAGGACTATAGATCTTCGTGTACCACCCAGACTCCCTGTTTTGGGATAATGTGTTGAAACTGACAATATCTGTGTTATTTTATTAGGGAAATATATTGATTGATTGATCAGTACCAATATAATCGTATCGATTGACCAGTACCAATATTTGTTGTGATTGATTAATACTTATATTTGTATTGATTGATTGGATGGCCGAACGGTTAGCACGTGCCCGCTGTATCATGAGGCTTGTCATTGAGTCAACTGGGAAGCAATCGGGGGACCCGGAGAAAATCCACGAGTTTAAACAAACGACCCTACGCCTTTCACGTACAAGTGGGGATCGACCCCCCCCCCCCCCCAAAAAAAAAAAAAATCCAGTTAGAACCTATGACGCTCTGTTTCGTATATATACCTGAAGCAATGGCCCCAGAAATTGAGACTGAAAACTTGAGTCTTTGACGGAGCGTGTCCATTCTCACCGTCCAATCAAATCTCTCCTGAGTAAAATAAGGGGAATTTTCATGACTTAACGGGGTTGGACTCTTTAAAAAAAAAAATATTCCAGTGTTTGTTGGTGCTGATTTCAAGAATTTTTTTTACCCTTGGATGCATTGATACTCACATCGGTAAATTTAGCCGCGTTTATAACCAGACAATTTACGTTAACATAGAGCACTGGTTAATTCGGATTGATTTTATTACGTAGTAATGTACTGGACCCTGTTTCTCGAAATCTTAACTAAAGATAAAATCAAAATTTTAGTAGATACTTAAATTTTGATTGGCTAAGCACTAAAATCAATCTAATATTATCCAATCAAATTACTAAAATTTAGTAGATACTTCAATTTGGATTGGCTAAGCACTCAAATCAATCTAATATTATCCAATCAAATTACTAAAATTTAGATTTTATCTTAGTTAAAGTTTCGTGAAAGAGGCTCCTGGTTGTTGATCGGACTGTTAACCAGTCATAATTTGGGACAGAAATTTGCGCTGAGTATGGAAATGTTTGAGTGGGATTAGGTCTAATCAAACGGAATACTGCGAGGAGTTTGTTTCGTAAGAAATTCAATCAATCAAATGGGCCCTTAATATTTGTTCTAATATAGACCGGCATCACGGTGGTTAAGTGGGTAAGACGCTGGCTCTCTAGGCTGGAGGTCGGGTGTGCGATCCCTGCATTGGCCGAGAAAGTTCATCCAGATTTTCCGGCTTGATTCACCCTTGTCAGTGATGCAGGACGGAGGGCCTGACAAGGACAGCGGTCTAGTCGTTCGGATGGAAGGAAAAACCGAGGTCCCGTGTAGGCCTACACATTGGCGTACACGTAAAAGCTCCCATGACAGTTGGAATTCGATATAAGAGTAGACAGTAGTACCGCTGTTCGGGCAAAATTTCCCTCATAGAACACCGTATAGCGTATGCCCGTCTTCAATAGCCCGGTTCGGAGCAGAACAGTAGGACGTTAAACTCCATTTCATTTCATTTCATTTATTTCTAATATTAGACCACCATCGCATGACCGATCAATACATCCTCTATACCACAATTAGGATGATTCGTGAAATAGAACTTTATTCTTAAATGAAATTTATCAAAATGCCATCTTGCATTTATGGTGGTCATTTTGGTTTCACGACTATGCCATATGTTTTTGACATGGAGAACGGTTTTAATGGATATTTGTTACGGCCAGCTCAAATTTTGTCAAGGTCGTTGAGATGTAAATAAGGTTTGGGCACGTGATTGTTTGCGAGATTCTAGGTTAGAGTTAGGGTAATCATTGGGACTAGGTCCAGGGTTAGGGATAGGATTGGGATTAGCGCTAGCCCTGTTTACATTGTGGCCTATGACGACAAAATTGAGCTGGCCTTATCATTAGCACTAACCGTTGTTTTATATGGCGGCCATCTTGGATTTCACGATGACGTCATGCATTTTCCATCTAGCTGTTGATAGATTGCTTGACCCCTAAAACCTTGTGATTGCGAGATACCAGCGAATTTTTTTAAAATCTCACACACGTATCCAACGGGACTCAAAGAGTTAAATCAAGGGGACATAAATGCACACTTTTACAAACATGTATCAGGACTCAGACTAGCAATTATTTGCCCATTGACTTCAATGTTAAATGGCTGTAACATCACAGACTGTAGCTTTATGCTCAACATACTGTTGGTTCCAATTTCCTAATCATAATTTTGTAGGGGGGTTGATCGTTTAGATTTTTTGCTACGGGGATTTGATGTTGACTGGGGTGAAAACCTCACTCTTCCGACACAATGATTGCTCTGCAGAAAGACACTTTACACCCCCTATCCCTCCGCTGTAAAATCATCTACATTACCCCAAATTGCTGTAAATTTGCAAATTTGATCCCTTTTCTCCAATTCTATACCAAAAAGTCAACCCCAAAATGCAGGAAGAGGGGAGAAAAAAATTTATAACTCGCACTACAGAAGGGGAAATAATTACTAGTCTTAGTCTTATTAAACGTGTTTTAAACAGCAGACATCCGTTGTATTAAAATCCATGACAATAGTAATGCTGCCTATGTTGATTTCTTTTTATCTATGACAGGGTCAGGTTCGTTAAAAGTATGTGTTACCCATGACAACGGTAATTCTGTCTCTGCCATTTTATTTATAAAGCTGGACATTAGTATTGACTAAATGTTTTTCATTCTCCACATTAACGTAACCCAATAAATTGTTCAACATACCACAATTCTTGTCAATTATTTCCACAGTCCGGATTGGCATGCTATATCTCCACGCATGCGCTGTTTTTAAGGCCATTTTACTCTCGACACAATATGTGCAGGGAGTGCCTGCGTGTTTGTTCGTTAATCGCATAATGTAATCTTTTTGGAATCCGGTATAAGAAATGTTAGCAAACTGATAAAGATCTTTAAAAATGGCAACTGGTTCTCTAACAATGTCTTCGTAACGAACTTGCTTTAATCGTTGCTTATATTTTTTTTCAAGATGGCGGAACAAAATAACATCTTCAGTCATTTGATTACAAAGTTGTTTTGATTCTTCCGCGATATTTATAACGCCGTCCAATTTTCCTAATTTTAATCTGGATGATATAATTGCCCTTGGATCACGTACAAGGTGGATGACTTTTAACATGGGATCCTTCTGCATTAATAATTCCGCTTTCTCCACGGTCAACCGAATGGTTTTAGCCACTGACACGTTTCTATGACGACATTCGTCATAGAGATGATACAAACATCTGACGATTTCCGGTAGTTTGGAAGATCCGTTACGCAGACAAACATCATATGGCAGGAATCGTCCTCTTTCAAAATGGATCTGTGTTAAGGTTTCAAGATCCAGGTTGGTAAAATTGCACGACAGAAAACTTGACAAGACTTCGTTTTCCATATCTCCAAATTCTTCATTTTTAAGGAAACTGTAAAAAGATTTGTATATTTAGACACACCTATAGTAAAGTATCTAGCTGATCGGCGGAGTGTGAAATACGGTTTGGACAGTATTCGTATAATTTTTGGGTCATTGTTGTAAAAAGTACTACCTATAGGCCATCCTCGGTTACCCAGTGTACTCATTCCGTTCTACTCCACTATACCCTGGGTTAATCCATAGGGTTTCCACGATTTCAAATTATCTGCCCTGGCCTAGAATGTAGCTACAGTCTACGAACCAATCAGAAAACAGTTTACAAACCAATCGTTTCGCCTTCGTTTTTATAAGGGTAGATAACCATATTCATGTCCATTTACTGAATGATTTATGTAAATAATGTATATATTTATAATTTATTTATATTTAATTGTATTATGAAAATCTGTAGTATGTGTTGTTGATTTCAAATATGTATAACATTTATATGTTTGACTTTTGTTATTATTATTACTATTCGTTCTTTATCTGAAATGTGTCATTCTGTCATGTTTATTATTATTGAACTTGTACTTGGCAATTTGATTCACAATAACTTGTCTACGATATCACGTGGACATAAAATTCGGGGAACGAACGAACTAGTCTAAATGAAACTAATGACCCTACATTATTATATGAACGTCTGGTCTTCATTAACATAATATATAATTGGCTGTTAATAATTACGCATTTAGAATAGGCCAACTCCTAACATTGTCCGATGAGAGTTACTTCCCTTTGCCAACTTCTTTTTCAAATAACAATTTATGGGATTGGTCGATAAAAATAGCACAATCATCAAGGGCGGATAACTTGAAAACGTGTCCCCCCCCCCCCCATAGATTAACCCAGGGTAGAGCGGAATGAGTACACTGGGTAACCGAGGATGCCTATAGGCCTAAACAATATACAATTCAATTTTGGAATTATTTATATCAGATAAATCTCGCGAATCTTCAATTTTACAAAACAAGAATCTAGCAAACGTAGGCTACATGTGCAATATGGAGCCGAATCTTTGCCATATTAAGAGAAAATATCATGGTTGAAATTGAAAAATTATCATAGTCAAAATGGTAAAAATGGCCATTTTCGAGATTTTTCACTTGTAAATATCACATAACACCTAATACATTTTAAAGGATATTTACCATAATGAAAATCACTATTAGTATCAAAACAAAAATTGCTCGACAAAAATTAACAATGTAAAAATCTAATTTGTCAATTGTCAATATGGCAACGATTCGGCTCCATAGTGTAACACTACAAATAACAGAAGATCAGCATAATGGTAAGACCTTTAGTAAGGCTCTATTCCAAGCCTGACTTACACACGTAAAATCCTGGTTATATAGCGTCCGACAATATGGTATTGTTTATTTATCAGATTATGGTACCATAAGGTCATGGTATGATGCACTGACTACTGGATTTTCCTTTGAAGTCATGCCGAGGTTTGTACACAGATCATGCGTAGCTTGTAAAGGACATATTGAATTAATTGCATGTTTAATTACAACACAGTCGTGACTGAACTGAAGTAAATACAGAGTTGAAAAATCAATATCATCAAAACCAGCTGGGATCAATAAGTTCACAGAATCTAAATAATAGTTCGTATTTTATAAAATGTTTAATTAGAACGTGACTAACAGAAGTATATACAGAGTTGGAAAGTCAATATCATGTTCTATGCACGTAAATCAGTGGTTCTCTACCTTTTTTGCCAACGGCACACCTTGGAACACATGAACAAATAGCGACACAGCTGGCTAAATATATATATGAAAAATATTTGAATTTTGCAAAATAATAACATGGCAAGTCATAGACGGCACACAACCGTAGATACAGACTAGTCATAGGCACATAGAGTGACTCAAACTAAATAAAGAAACAGCTATGAACTTATCAGTAGACACCAGTAAAAACTCAATTCGGATCTCATGGTTGTTTGCATTTTCTTAGTGTGCCGTTCGAAATTTTCGCGGCACACTGGTCGAGTGGACGTTAAACTCTCTCTCTCTCTCTCTCTCTCTCTCTCTCTCTCTCTCATGGAATTGCAGTAGAAATAAATCCCGAAATGACCTAGTTTAACGCTCTCTCTCTCTCTCTCTCTCTCTCTCCCTCTCTCTCTCTCCCTCTGTCTCTCTCTCTCTCCCTCTCTCTCTCTCATGGAATTGCAGTAGAAATAAATCCCGAAATGACCTAGTTTAACGCTCTCTCTCTCTCTCCCTCTCTCTCCCTCTCTCTCTCTCTCTCTCATGGAATTGCAGTAGAAATAAATCCCGAAATGACCTAGTTTAACGCTCTCGCTCTCTCTCTCTCTCTCTCTCTCTCTCTCTCTCTTATGGAATTGCAGTAGAATCGGATTTTCTTCTATATGATCAAAATACTTACAAAGGTTTTTTAAACAGAAATGTTAAAGGTCTTTCCGTCTTGTGATATAATTTATACAAGGAATATAATGGCTCAAATATGTAGACAACATCGGGACTGTTTTGGAGAACATTGCCAACAAAAGATGACCCACTGCGCATGTATGCCAGTAACAGCACATGTCCTTCAGGAGGCTTAATCTTCCACTTATCGTGTCGATGATTTCCGATATGGTGGGTTTCTGTTACGTAAAAAAGAGTTTCATGATCATTATACAATAATGAAAGGATAAATAAATAAATAAAAATAAGTACATGTATGGGCATACTATGGACCAGGAACTAGGTATGACGCTATCGCAGCCATCTTGGGTAAGCCGCTGGCTCGCTTGCCTGGGGGTCGGTGTTTGATCCCTGCATTGGCCGAGAAAGTTCCTCCAGATTTTCCGGCGTGGTTTCTCCTTGTCAGTGATGTAGGACGGAGGGCCTGACAAGGACAACTGTCTAGTTGTTCGGATGGGACGAAAAACCGAGGTGCCGTGTACACATTGGCGTGCACGGAAAAGGTCCCTTGAAGTTGGAATTTGATATAAGAGTAGGTCGTAGTGCCGTTGTCCGGGCAAAATGTCACTCAAAGCACACTGTATGGCATATGCCGGCCTTCATTAGCCAAGTTCAGAGCAGAACAGTAGGACGTTAAACCCCATTTCATTTCATTTCGCAGCCATCTTGGAATCGATGTCCGTCAATCTATGTACACGCAAGTCTCGCTATCCAGCATTCGACCGGCTATATCTTTTGTTAAGGCTAACTCAATTTTCGTCAAGGTCGCTGGGATGCAAATAAGGTTAGGCCAGGTGATTCTTGGTGAGATAGTAGGTTAGGTTTAGGGTAAGCATTAGGGCTAGTCAGCTATGTATGAAAGATGACCTCATGACATGTTACCACCACCATCTCTGCTGGGGTTTTTGCTACCAATGTTTATAGTTTTTTTTTATAGCAGCGGACTAGTGCAACCGCGAATCAGTGAACATTCCCCAGAATGCAGCATTCCTCAGAATAATAGGTCATTGGCTAGATTATCCGGTCTTTTATATTAACATAAACAAAGTTTAAGGGAGGTAACTAGTCCTAAAACAAGGTATTATTAATCCTAATTCGTTGTCACGATTCATGTTTGTTTATAATAATGCGACAATTATCTGGGATTTATTGCGGGAAGGGGCGCAACTCTTACTTGACTTAGCCAAAGATACTGGATAATCAACTCCCAGTTACGCATGGACTATGGAACTTTCGTCAAAATATTGACAATGTTCTCAGACCCTCTGTACGTTGACGACTAGGAGGTTCTGGGGTGACCGAGATTCAGGCTAAACTGCAAGGGATGACAACTCTGCAAAGTTTCATGTTGATCCTAGCTTAATTGGGGGAGCCTTGGGGTTTTTGGGTTTGTTTTTTGTTTCGAGGAGCGTCACCTGCAAGACTACAAAGCGCAACAAGACTAGTAGCGCCTGGGGTCACATTTCTGCTGGTCCAGAAAGAAATAAAATAAGTTCAGAAATGTACCTTTGTGATCTGAAATGAATGTTTCGTGACCATTACTTGATGACAGCGGGGTATTTGAATTGACAAATGTGGTGACAAATGAAAGGAGATGCTGTAAATGACCTGTAAATAAGAACGCTAAATGTATTACAGGAGTTCCAGTGTCTTTCTGTATGTAATCGTAAATGTTTAAAGGAAATACATCGTAAAATGTCTAAAGAAATGGTGGGAGAGAGAGAGAGAGAGAAATGGGGTTTAACGTCCACTCGACACAAACTAGGTCATTTCGGGACTAACATATGATTTAATTTTATTTCAATAATTCGCATGCGCGTATGAGTCTTTAGCAGTGGGAGGAAACCGGAGGACCCGGAGAAAACCCACGAGGTTGAACAGGCGACCCTACTCCTTGTCACGTACAACCGGGGAATCAAAACCACACCAGTTGACCCAATGACAGACTTTATGGTACAGCGCGCACGTGCTAACCATTCAGCCCCCCACCCCAAAGAAATGGGGAATATACACCGTAAATGTTTTAAAAAATGCGCAGATGCATCGTAAATGTTTAAAGGAAGTGGAGAAGAAACATCGTAAATGTTTAATGACATGAAGTAAATATGTCGTAGATGTTTAAAGGACGTGGAGAAGATATGTCATAATATTGGAGTATGCGTATGTCCGTCTTCATTAGGGGGGTTGGAAGGTCGAATGGTTAGCACGTGCGTGCTGTATCATAAGGCCTGTCATTGAGTCAACTGGGGGGGGGGGGGTCGAATCCCCGGTTGTACGTGACAAGGAGTTGAGTCGCCTGTCCAGCCTCGTGGGTTTTCTCCGGGTCCTCCGGTTTCCTACCACTGCTAAAGACCCCTACGCGCAAGCGAATTATTGAAATAAAAGTAAACCATATGTTAGTCCTGAAATGACCTAGTTTGTGTCGAGTGGACGTTAAACCCCATTTCTCTTTCTCTCTCCCGTCTTCAGTGGAACAGAACAGTAGCACGTTAAAACCCCGTTTCATTTAAGTTCGATTTACACAGTTGTTGTTAACTCACGGTTGTTGATAACTCGCGGTTGCTGATAACTCACGGTTGTTGTGGGCGTCTTGTGTATTGGGTAATCCATTACAGAGGAGACTAACCTGTGGACAAGAACTGAATTGACATCAACATAAACACCATGATGCAGGCAGCTAATCGTCGTGGAGTTAAAATGGACATCTTGAAAAGCTGGAAAAACATATAGAGGCATAAACATAGTCACGCAAATCATGAAAATACGCCATCATAGCGGCATAGTCCTGATAGCAAGGGTGGACAAGGGACCGAGGGGCCACCACTCCAGGGGTACATGGGCGGCTGAAAAGTTCTAAGTCTATCTGTGAAAGACCTATACAAAGTCGATGGGTTCCATTTACGAGCGAAAGTGTACATTATTTTGCCAACGATGTTGCAAGGCCTGGATGCCGGTCAGGAAGGAATTTTCGTTCACAGCTGACAGGACGTCAGCATTACTTTGAAAATGACGACCGGCTAGTTCCTTTCATTTTTGGAAACAGGTCTCATCCATGGTTACAAATCTAGTCAAAGTATTATCGGGATCTGCTTCAAAACGGCGCAGATTGTCACGGAACGTCAGGAATCTAACGCGTTTCTGATCCGCTGTCAAGAACTTTGGCAACCATCTTGCAGAAACTTTTGTCATTCCTATTTCTTTGGCCATAATGTGCTCACAACTCTCTCATGAGAGATGCCCACAGCACTGGCAATATGTCGAGTGATCAATCGTCTATCAGCCATCAGCATGTCATGCACCCAGGTATTGTTTTTTGAATTGTTCCGGTTGGTGGCCCTCTCTGCCAGCCACGATTATATTCCGCATCCCACTGAGGAAAATGAAGGGGGGGGGGGGTCATCCTTTTATCTAGAGACTACGTCGGCATGTATCTGTGTTTGGATTAGTCCTTTCGGTGGCAGGCACTTGATGACTGCCCTATAGCCAGTTTTGTCCATTTCTGTTGGTTTCAGTGGATAGGTTCACAATATTGTCTGGTACCAAGACAATAATAATCTACAGTTGCAGATTCATTCACTTATTGTACTTGTTGGTGGCAATAGTTTGTTTTAATCCAATTGATCTATCCTTTGCAGGCTTAGAACGTTTCAGTCAACCCTCGTATCCTGATGTTTCTAGTTTATGCACACATTTAGCGTGTGATACGAGCGAAATTTTACCAAAACGATGCAAGTTCAAGATTAAAAAGAACTCTCAAACAATGCGAGACTATTAAATCCTTTAGGTGACCCAAAGCCTACTATAAACACGTTCTTATTCCCAGTGCACTCTTGTCGAAAAGAAAGCTCAAGATTAAAAAGAACCCTCAAACAACGCGTGACTATTAACTTCTGTAGGGGACTCATTTATTAAAGCCTGTCATAAATACAGTCTTACTCCCAGCCCTCCCTTGTCGAAAGGAAGGCTTAGAAAAAGATATTTTATGCTTTAACGAAATCTGATCTGTGTCGTATTCACAAACTTTAACAAATATGTTAAACATATTTAGCCTCTATCCGGAAGGTAAGGATGCAGAATGCTGAATATTTATATGGCTCGTCTTCTCATGGCCCCACGCTTCCAACCAATTTTTGACAAAACAAAATCCATTTTAAACGTATTATAGCCCCAAGGATCTGGGTAAAGGCGGAATAACTCTAGTACGGAAGGTCGCTGAACGCTGAATATCGATAGAGTTCGTCCTCTCGTAACCCCAATACTTCACACGTGAAAAGAATCCGTTAAAAACTGTAGCCCTTCTCCAATTGTTGACGGACGTATAAAAATAACGTTTTACATAATTTATATTAACGGACGTACGGCTCTATTCTCTTGAAAGCCTGGAGGTCGGGTGTTCGATCCCTGCATTGGCCGAGAAAGCTCATTCAGATTTTCCGGCGTGGCTCTCCTTATCAGTGATGCAGGACAGAGGGCCTGACTAGAACAGCTGTCTTATCGTTCTGATCGGACGAAAAACCGAGGTCCCGTGTATACATTAGAAAGCACGTAAAAGATCCCTTGGCAGTTGGAATTCGATATAAGAGTAGGCGATAGTGTCGCTGCCCGGGCAAAATTTCCCTCATAGCACACTGTATGGCGTATGCCCGTCTTCATTAGCCCAGTATAGGAGCAGAACAGTAGGACGTTAAACCCCATTTCATTTCATTTCATTTATTCTCTTGAACCTTACCGTGACAATAAGTGGTTCTAAAAGCACATATTAATGTAATATAAATAAACTCTTTGGGGATCACGGTGGCTAAGTGGGTAATACGCTGGCTCGCTAGCCCGGAGGTCGGATGTTCGATCCCGGCATTGGCCGAGAAGGTTCAACCAGATTTTCCGGCGTGGTTCTCCCTTGTCAGTGATGCAGGACAGAGGGCCTGACTAGAACAGCTGTCTATAATCGTTCGGATGGGACGAAAAACCGAGTTCCCGTGTACACATTGGCGTGCACGTAAAAGATCCCTTGACGGTTGGAATTCGATATAAGAGCTAGCCATTCTTGCTATAATAGTTCGAAAATAGATAATGTAAAATGAATGATTTGAAAAATTTCATTCAAATTACTCTATTGCTAGCGAAGATATTAGCCTTTGAAGGTTTGACAAGATGTGTGAAATAATTTCAACCACCATACTGGCTGTTCGAAGCTATGTCTCCTCCATTTTTAGCTTAAATCAAAATATGGCTGAACTGTTCTAACCTATTTAATATCGGAGAAATCCGATGCCATCGCGAGTTGATTATGGCCTGGATAAGTTCATTGATGTCTAATTAATAATTTAGAAAATACTTCAGCCCTAAAGAAATGAAATGAAATGAAATGGGGTTTAACGTCCTACTGTTCTGCTCCTAACCTGGGCTAATGAAGACGGGCATACGCCATACAGTGTGCTATGAGGGAAATTTTGCCCGGGCAGCGGCACTACGGCCTACTCTTATATCGAATTCCAACTGCCAAGGGATCTTTTACGTGCACGCCAATGTGTACACGGGACCTCGGTTTTTCGTCCCATCCGAACGACTAGACAGCTTTCCTTGTCAGCCCCTCCATCCTGCATCACTGACAAGGGAGAACCACGCCGGAAAATCTGGATGAACTTTCTCGGCCAATGCAGAGCCCTAAAGAAAGACCAGCAATAGGCAGATTTAGCTCTTGCATAATGTGTGTTTAATTCAATATCTAATTAATAATTTTGATAACATTTCATGCCTAAAGAAAGACCCCCAATTGGCAGATTTAGCTATAAATGTATGTTTACAGAAAGCAACACACGGAACTCACTATTTTATATTTTAAAAAATATTCAATTTTATGTTTAATACCCATCAAAAAATTCATTGCTTGAAATGTACTGCTTTTTAAATCCAATAATATTAAAGGTGCATTATGTAGGAGATGAATCGGCCTATTTCAGGTCTTTCTTTTGGCTTCAAATGTAAACGTAAATTATTATATAGACATTTATTAACATGACAAGTCTATAATCAACTCTCTGGATCATCAGATGACTGAAATTTAAAACTTTAATGATAAAATAGACAATCGAGACTAAGTATCGTTGCTATGATAATGAACGATCTACGTAATATATTCAGGCAGCTCTTCGGTTTTCAATAAAGTAATTTGAATAACATTTTCAAGACAAAAAGATAACTGTTGAATTTACTACAGATTACTTTTTTAGCATAAATCTACTTCTTGTCACGTACAACCGGGGAATCGAAACCACGCCAGTTGACTCAATGACAGGCCTTATGATACAGCGCGCACGTGCTAACCATTCAGCCATCCAACCATTCGGCCATCCAACCACCACCCCCACCCCCTGCACAGTCATCCCACCGTTAAACCCCATTCCATTTCATTTCATTTCTGTGAAGTTGTTTATACATGTACATTGAATTTAAAAATTTAAACTCAGCCACTGAACAGTCTTCTCTTGGATTAACTTTAATCAGTCCGTTAGCTAACGGATAATAAAATTGACCTTCCATCTACAGAAATTTAACGGATCGTTAACAAACGAACCCTTAGCAAGATAACGATCCGTTATAGTTTAAAGGATCGCTAAAATACCTTAGTTTTGAGCAACCAGCCCCTTTTCAGTTTACCATGTCATAAATTATAAAAATTTTCCTACCTTTCAGTCAATCTACTTTCAATAAATTACGAATAGTTCGTAAAATACACACACGGTTAGCTGATATTTGTCTTTTTAAAACTATTTCCGTAATTTCCTCAGTAATGAATTGGTCAGTTTGAGTAAACTACTGACCCTTGTGTTGTCGTCGTCGTCCAAGCGTTTGTTTTAAACTTGTGAAAGGTAAATATTGATCCGTCCTTTAAACGTTACCTGTTCGATATTGGTTGGATCATCGAATCAGCACGTTTTTCACACACACAGTCAACTACTCGTAAACAAGGGAGAGAGAGAGAGGGCGAGAGACAGAGAGCGCGCGCGAGAGAGAGAGAGAGAGAGAGGGGGAGAAATGGGGTTTAACGTCCACTCGACACAAACTAGGTCATTTCGGGACTAACATATGGTTTAATTTTATTTCAATAATTCGCTTGCGAGAGAGCGAGAGACAGAGAGAGAGAGAGGGTGGGGTTAATAATTCGCTGAGAGGGAGAGAGCGAGAGACAGAGAGAGAGAGAGAGAGAGGAGGTAATATTTCACTTTGCGGCAATGTGTCTTCAACAGTAGTGGAAGGATATAGTGAAACCCCACAAGATTAGAGCAGACGAGCTTCACGTACATGTGCGGGATTCAAACCACCTTATCTTCGAGCATCGTTGTTATGAATTTTATTTTGTTGTTTAAAATCATTTTCATTTCTGAAAATATTAAAGATTACTTGCTAAATCTGCTTTTAAATGTAATCAAGCAGACAAATTCATAATATCAATGGTGGATAATCTCTCAGATTGGATTCAGTCGAATTTAAAAGGTGATATATCAAGGTATAATGTATGTCACAATAAATGAAATGGGGTTTAACGTCCTACTGTTCTGCTCCGAACTGCATGGGCTAATGAAGACGGACATGCGTCGTACAGTGTGCTATGATGGACATTTTGCTGGGACAGCGGCACTACGGCCTACTCTTATATCGAATTCCGACTGTCAAGGGATATTTTACGTGCACGCCAATGTGTACACGAGACCTCGGTTTTTCGTACCATTCGAACGACTAGACAGCTGTCCTTGTCCCCCCCCCCCCCCCCGTCCTGCATCACTGACAAGGGAGAACCACGCAGGAAAATCTGGATGAACTTTCTCGGTCAATGCGGGAATCTAACATAAGTCATGGTTGTCAAACATATACCGTGGGTCAGATATGCAACAAATCGACTCTATAGCATGTTCCACACAACCCAATATTACCCGGGGGCACTTGGAGGGACTGCCACCCCACCCACTCCTCCGCACGCACATATAAATATTGTTTTTCGGGGTGCCCGGGCGGATCATGTTAATCATGCAAAACCATTAGTCACCACGCCCCTGTCTGGAATCCTGATGGTATTTTATTTACGCTCTTTGTTGGTGACACCTAAGTCTACTCTGCTGGTGACGGGGACACCTCACTTTCCCCACATCTATTGTTTAGAGTCTAGGTCCACCCGGCCATGACTAATTAACCAACAAAGGGAGTTTAAGGGGATTTAAAGTATAGTCTGTTACAGGTTTGTGACACTTCAACATAGTAAATAAATAAATAAATAAATACATTTTTTATAGTATAAATATTTATAAACAGTTTGATATATTATAAGTACAAATATATAATAAATAATTATATATGCATTTAACTAAATAAATAAATAAATACATATTAACTACATAAATAAATACATTTTTATAGTATAAATATTTATAAACAGGTTGATAAACATGACAATTCACAGTCCAACAAAATTCATAACAGTGTTGAGGTATTCAATGGGGGTCTTGGCACCAGTTATTAATAAATTCTTCTCTTTTACGATTCTTTCATCAAGGCGGCAGTTACTAAATTCTGACCACCTTTAGTATTACCAATGTATTTAAAGTTAACCAGAGCGTTCGCCATTTTGGAATGACCATTTGTGATTCAGAGGAGCTATATATATCAACTGATAAGCTGTGATTATATATCAGTAGTTTATTTGTTTTTATTTCAAATAATTATTACATCAAAACAGATCACAATGTAAATTTATTAGTAAACTGATTTCATTAATTTGCCCAATCTACTGATTGTGTTCACCAGTAACAATAATTAGAGTGAGAATTAATTAGAACAGACTATAGTCCTACATCCACGGTCCAGTAACCTTCTAATCCTTTATCAAAACAATCAAATGTGGGGAAAGTGAGGTTAAACCCTGGTGACAGATGAGAGAGAGAGAAATGGGGTTTAACGTCCACTCGACACAGACTAGGTTATTTCGGGACTAACATATGGTTTAATTTTATTTCAATAATTTGCTTGCGCGTAGGGGTCTTTAGCAGTGGGAGGAAACCGGAGGACCCGGAGAAAACCCACGAGGTTGGACAGGCGAACCTACTCCTTGTCACGTACAACCGGGGATTCGAAACCACGCCAGTCGACTCAATGACAGACTTTATGATACAGTGCGCGCACGCTAACCATTCAGCCATCCCCCCCCCCCCCCCCTGGTGACAGATGCCTTTACAAACAAACTAAAACAAATTAATTATTTACGATTTGACAAAAAACGGGAAAAAACAAACATCCAGCCTAACAATCATATTTGAAAACAAATTAATTAATTAATTAAGATTTGAAAAAAGAAAAGAAAAGTGCAAAACATCCCGTGTAACAATCATAACTTGAAAACAAATTAATTAATTACGATTTGAAAAAAGGGGGAAAAACAAACATCCAGTCTAACAATCATATTTTAAAACAAATTAATTAATTAATTAAGATTTGAAAAAAAACCAACAAGGTAAACACAAAATATCCAGCCTAACAATCATTATTGGAAAACAAAATAATTAACAAAAAAAAAAAACCAACAAAAAAACCCCAAAACAACAAAAAACAAAACATCCAGCCTAACCCAGACTATTCTAACCCAGGCCTACTCTGTTACTTAAAGATACATTATGGGAGTTAAGATAAAGAGATGGCAGTTCTCGCTGTAATAGTTAAAAACTAGGTAGTGTAAAGGTAATTTGCGGAAAATTTCAGTCAAATTGATCCACTATGAGCCGAGAACGACGCTGGTGAAATTTTCGCATAGTCTCGGTCATCATTACTAAAATCATCAATATAAACAGCATAGTCTCGATTATCCACTGTTTTGATTTAATTATCAATGTCCGTTAAGCGGCATATAGGAGAGTTGACATCGAGAGTTTATTATGGTCTGGATAAGTTAATTAATGTCTAATTGATAATTTAGATAACATTTCAGGCCTAAAGAACGACTTGTAATAAGCAGATTTTGCTCTTGCATAATGCATGTTTAACTACAACATGAAGAAATCAATAACCATGAATGAAATAAAGCACGAAAACATGTGGATAATCGATACAATACATCTACATTTAACACACACATTTATCGATATTGTCCGTATCCTTGACGTTTTTTCATGCTATTTTTTGGTTTTATTGTCACAGCTGGACTGGCGGCGTGTAAATATTTCCTTCGATATGCAGCTGAATAGACCCATATTAAAAACTGATACCTGCAGGGCCGGATTAAGACCCACGGAGACCTTAAGCATTTAAAAGATTTTGATATGAAATGAAATGAAATGGGTTTAACGTGCCACTGTTCTGCTCCGAACGGGGCTAATGAAGACGGACATACGCTATACGCCTATAGGGTTAGGGTGAGGGAAATTTTGCCCGGACAGCGGCACTACAGTCTACTCTTATATCGAATTCCAACTGTCAAGGGATCTTTTACGTGACCGCCAATGTGTACACGGAACCTCGGTTTTTCGTCCCATCCGAACGTCTAGACATCTGTCCTTGTCAGGCCCTCCGTCCTGCATCACTGACAAGGGGGAACCACGCCGGAAAATCTGCATGAACATTCTCGGCCAATGCATGGATCGAACACCCGACCTCAAGGCTAGCGAGCCAGCGTCTTACCCACTTAGCCACCGTGATCCCCAAAAGATTTTGGTACCCTATATATAGTACTACACTCCATCCCGGTGATGCTGGAAACTAGAGAAAGTTTCATCGGAATTACCCTTGCCTGGTTTGTTACAGGACGGATGAACAGGCAAGGAATCCGGTCTAGTCGTTCGTTTGGAAGAAAGAAATAAATCCCGTGAATACATTTGCGTGCTTGTATTCAATAACGAGTTGGCGGAAACACGAGTGTCAGTCAGGTGAGAGAGAGAGAGAGCTCACATCGTATCACAGTGACAGACTTCATGATCTAAAGCGTACGTACAACACAACTCAAAACAAGAGGAGGTCTAAATTTCCCTTATCGCAAACTGCTTGGCCATTGTATGTTTTTATTTGTCCGGTGTTTGCAGAAAAGCAGGACTTAAAACCCCTTCTCATATTCTCTCGGACCCTGCTCAGATAATACTTTGAAATTAACTTTTCGATGGTACTTAAAATGTCTCGGCTTTATATCGGCCGAGAATTGAAAAAATCGGTTCCTTCACTTTTTTAAATTGTCTAAAATATGGAAAACGTTTCTAGAAAGTTTGTATATTTGATTGAATGTTCTGATACTTATTTATTTCTTTTTGACTTTTACTCAATATTGAGTATGTCTTCTTAGATCTGTTTCAAGGTACTGTGTATATTATGTCAAAGAAGTAGGCCATCGACAGTGGGCTGACTCCGTGATAAAATAACCTAGAGTTATCTACCGCGTCTGCTCTCATGGCGCTCTATACAATATGTCTGCGCCCATTGAAACAAAATGTAAATTGATTTTTTCTTTTATATTTTTCGCGTTTTTAGGAGTATCATTGAGCGATGAAGACTTTGTAGCCTCCAAATTACAGGCAGAGAAGACACAAATTGCCAGGTTAGCGAATTAGCAGCAATTTATTCTCACAAGAAGGGACCGACACAGTTGATGAAGCTGACTCAGACTCACTATTGACCGAGAAAGTTCCCCTGGGTTTCTTCGGCCCTTGTCAGCAGGATGGAGGGCCTGACAGACAAGGACAGATGTCTAGTTGTTCGGATGGGGCGAAAAACAAGTCGGGCGATACACATTACCATGCACTTAAAAAAGCCCCTGAATGACAGTTTGAAATTCAAATATCTTAATATCAATATAAAAAAACATGTACATGTAAGAGTAATCTGTAGCATTGTTGTCCGAGCAAATTGCCCTTGTAGACATAGCACACTAGTTGCATCTTCAATAACCCAGTCGGTGCAGAAAAGTAGAGTATTATATCCAATTTCATTTCTGTTTGAATCATGGCGGCTTTATGCATAATATATAGGCCTACTCTTCAAAAAAAGTAGGGGATATTCAGAAACAATACAAAACTGCGGAAATGCACTGCTGTTTTTATTAGAGGTAACCAGGGGTGGTACTTTTTACCGCCGACTACCGCCGACCAATACTTTTACCGCTGGCCGTCGTGAAATTACCACCGACCAAATACCTTTTTACCGCCGACCGCATTGTAATTACTTTCGATCGTAATATAATTACCGGCGACCAAATACTTGTTACCGCCGACCAAATGCTTAATGATTCCTTGTTACCGCCGACATAGTCCATTATTTTGTTTATGTCATGGGTGGGATTATATCTTTTGAACACAGGTGCAGATCAAAAAGAACGACATTCCTTTAATATTTCCTGTCCTCGGCAATCTGCCGTAGCCAGGGTAAATCCGTAAATGCTGATGTATTTTACATTTGCCTCGGCAAAATTAATAGCTGAGGCCATTGAATCATTTCTTTATTTTTTTTTTATAAATACCAAAAGTTGTTATCAACAACAAATCATACAGCGCATCGGTTTAATTATCGGCAGATAGTTCCATGTCTTTCTATTTCTCTTCGAATATTATTTCCATTGTACAAAAACTGTTCAGAATTTTGCGTCTCGGTAACACAATTAATTTCTGAAAATCCCGGCCTCGTTTTGAAATTCACAGGGCAATGTATCCATAGGATTGTACTCTCTATTATTAAGTACAGGCCTAGATTAATCACAAGTACAACTCCATTTTGAAATCCACAGATACTGGAATTTTCTGATGGCATTTTGTAGATCTCGATCATGCCTCAGCCAATCAACGCTTGGAATTCTATTGTATGCTACACAGATGCAGTGAAAATGGTTAAATTTGGCGCAAAACTTGCCCGAGTTTTTCCCACAGTCTGCATAATTAACACACAAGACCCAATAATACATGCAATCTGCGATACCTCTTTTAACAAGTGATTTTTTGTTTTAAATACATTTTTATAAAGACGATAAACAATGTTTAGACATCCCAAACTGTTCTTATAAAAAATGTTACGATTTCAGTATCTTTCGAATACCCCCCCCCCCCCAAAAAAAGTAATTTAATCAGGAATATTATTGATGTGAACAGTCGTGAACAGTCAGAACGTGAATGAAATATGGAAATTATTGAGAAGCAGTGGCCTTTTTTCATAGTTTTTGTGTCAATCATAAAACTTTGAAAATGGACTTATAACCACAGAGCATTGGGATCAGATGCCACGTTATGAAATATTATCAATTAAAATTATGAAATAAAGTGTATTTATTTATAAATGTTAGTCACAGAGATGCATATAATTGACAGGGATGTAGGGCCTAATATAATTTATTAATATATATATAATATACAGGGTGATGATGCTGATGATGTGAAAAGCAATATTTACATGTACGAGTATTCTTTAATCGGTGATATTCATTGTGAATAAAATTTAGTAAACTGACAATCAATTGTTTCCAAATTAATTTTATTGTCTTCAGATGTCATTTTTGTTGCCCAAACTCAAACGATCGGAAAGGTCGCGCGTTGTTGTGATTGCAACACACGTAACTGTCAAAATTTGTCAACCATTGCCCCCTTCAACATATTAAGATGATTTAGTTCATCACGTGACATGTACAATGTTGTGATGAACTTAGTCGAAAATACAAGCAAAAAGAATTGACTTTTCAAGAGAGAACTTTTTTTTTGTTGAGATATTCAATTGTGAAATGGATTTTATTCAACCGGAGGCGATTTCAAACACATAGGCAAGTTTTTAATAACAATTATTCAGTAGTTTGTTCACAATCGACGAAATCCGTTTATAATTTACCACGGTTCAGACAGTAGTCATAATAATATGGTATCATTATAATTACTTGAAACAAAGACGTTAAAGGCATTCATAAGCAAAATGAGTTTATAACTATGTCCTCATAGATTGATTCACATCAAATCTACACTCAAAGCCATTAAATGCAAAATTTGAAGTTTTTTTACTGCAACAACTTTTAACAAATGTACATAACAAAATTGAGATATCAAGCATATGTGGATAATTTCATGAAGGAATTCACTACAAATGCACAAAACAGAAATGTCAGAGAACCATGAAAAAAAGCAGAGGTTAGCTGAAGTCATTATCGGGTATGTCCACCCTGAGCTCTTACACATTCCTGAAATCGCCTTGGCATGGACTGGCACAGATGTCTCACTACACGCTGTGGGATTGTTTGCCAATGATTTTGGAGTGCCTGTGCCAACTCTGCAACAGTTCAAGGTGGCATGGCTTGAGTTCAAACCCGTCGTTCAAGTTCATCCTAAAGGTATTCGATCGGGTTCATGTCAGGAGACATAGCGGGCCAATCCATAACATGGACATGATGATTGTTAAGAAAGTCTCTTGTCAGCCTGGCAGTGTGGGGTCGGACATTGTCATGCTAGAAAACCATCTGTCGATGGACCCCATGTTGAGTCAGCAACGGAAGCAACACCGGACGAAGGATGGCGTCAACATAATGTTGAGCGTTGAGATTGCTTGGACCACCACCAACTGTGACCGGAAGTTATGTTGATAGCGACCCAAAACATGACGCCGCCTCCCCCGAAACGATCCCTTTCCCCCAAGCAGTTACGGGCAAAGCGTTTATGTCGACGTTGGTAGATACGGGGACGTCCATCAGGAAAACTGAGGTTGAATCGGGATTCATCCGAGAAGATGACATTTCGTCATGGTGTGTTGCGCAGATACCCCTGATTTGTGGCCCATTGCTGTCTGGCAAGTCGTTGATGATGCAAAAGGATTTGACCTTGTAACCCTCGAGCAGCCAGACGTCTTCGGACTGTTTGAGGGCTGGTCTGACGTTGCCGCGTTCCAACAGTTCACCTCACAGTAGCAGTAGCTGACAGGAACCTGTTGCGCAGTTGCTGTAGTGGAGTGGATTGGTCAGTGGGGGGAGGACATCAAAGTGTATGGCGACGGCTACCTGTGAAACCCCCTGATCCAGCATGCCAATAGTTCTGTTCCTGTTTTCTTGTGTATGGCTTGGCATTTTTCCGAAGTAATGAATGTTGAAATTTTGATCTGTATTTAAAGGGCCAAAGTGCAGGGAATGCACAAGCAAAACATGTGACATGGGACTGCTTAAAATTGTGAAAAAAGACAAGTGTTGCGTTTACACGAACAAAGTACATTACCGAGAACTGATATTGGGTTCAAACACAAAATTCCACAAGTTTCACCTGTGTGCCGTAGGATAGGAAAGCCTAAGAAAACGTTTACCAGAAATATTTCACGAATTAGGCATTACGTTTATTATTTATTATTAAATGCAAGTCATTATCTGGATAACAGACTTTCAAATTTATGGGCTGTCCAACCCTCAGTCTACTAACTCAGGGACCATCAAACAAAACACAGAAAAACATTTGAGGCCTCTGTAATAGTAAGTGCAGGGGGGACTGCACCACACAAAATTTACACAAAAACAAATACACGGACAAGACATCATACTCAGGAAAACACAAACATACAGACAATTAAAAAAAAGTGAATGGATCCGGGGGCTAGGCATAAGCGTCCACTGCGGTATATGATGTACAGTATATGTTAGTGTCTGATTGACCAACACGTAAATAAAACGTTGACGGAATGTTACAGCCTGTTTATTCTATAATCTGGCACGATTTTGTTTATTTCAGTTGTCGGTATTTGTTGCAGACCTTATGGCACACAGAGATCAGTCATACACCATTTTCCTCCGCTCCTCTTATAGCTGATGTGGATGCTGACGGTGATTTAGATGTGGTTGCCTCTCCTTTCAGCGAAGTTTTCAATATCATTAAAGGTGAAACTGGACAGACTCTATCGAGTGGAAAATATCAATGGCCTGTACAAAACTTGAATGATTCAGTACATTCTACTCCTATTCAGGTAAGTTTAATTGCTTTTTGTCCCCCGCTTTTTGAAGAAAGGGTTTGTCTGTCCGTCCGCCTGTCTGTTCGTCACACAATAACTCTCTTTCTAATGGTGTAGGTGTTTATTAGGTTAATGTCTTGATGGAGTTCAAAGATGAGCATTTTCTGATTAGGGTAAGCAGAGATGAGCAATTTGATTGGTTGATGCTTTGGGACATGATAACTTTAGTTCTATATAAGTGAGAGTGATGAAACTTGGTGTATAGTTTTATTACATCAATACCTTGACTAAGTCCGATAATGAGCATTTTCTGCACAGGGTAAGCAGAGCGATAAGCAATTTGATTGGCCGAGACTTTGGAACACAATTATCTCTCCTTCTAATTTAGCTAGAATGTTCAAACTTGGTGTAGGTGTTTATTAGGTCAATACCTTGATGGAGTTCGAAGATGGACATTTTCTGCTTAGGGTAAGCAGAGATAAGCAATTTGATTGGTTGATGCTTTGGGACACGATAACTTTAGTTATAATTAAGTGAGAGTGAGGACACTTGTTGGTGTATAGCTTTATTACATCAATACCTTGACTAAGTTCGATAATGAACATTTTTTGCTGAGAGTGATAAGCAATTTGATTGCTTGAGACTTTGGAACACAATAACTCTCCTTCTAATTAATGTAGAATATTCAAACTTGGTGTAGGTGTCTATTAGGTGAATGTTTAAACTTCATGTACATGTAGATGTTCATTAGGTGAATGTTTAAACTTCATGTCTTGACTGAGTTCAATGATTGATATTTCGAGCTGACGATAAGCAGAGCTAATCGATTTGGTTTAATCTCACTGTGCCCCCCCAATCAACTGGTGTTATAGGGTAGTGGTGTGAAAATTTAAGTAAACAAAGGATTATAGACTGTATCCTTATTAGTACTGTTCCCCTAGTTAAAATTTAATTATTTTAATGATTAAAATATATAAGTTAAGTTCACGTGTCATTGGTTAACGAGTATCTTAAATATTATTCACATACCTTTCATTCAGACAGTACTCATAAATCAATCAAATATATGATTAGAAACTCACTATCATTATATAAGGATAGTTGTCACCCCCAATTACATTATATCTTTTAAATTGGCTCAAGTTCGCATAGGGTTTATTCCTAATTCTCAAGGAGGTCAAAATTTAGTTAATTTGGGGTATAAGTACAGAGTAAAATATACAAAACCCAATAGCACCAGCAGACTTTTACTGAAAATACAATAGTTCAATTGGATAATGGGGGACGATTGCCCCCTAAAAGACGATAATATAAAAGAGTAGAAGAATCTATTAATGATCTAAAAATTAAACTGTTAAATGGAGTAAAAAGTGCAATTGAATATACTCTGCCATATCACATTTAGTAGGGTTATGATTTATGTTTGATACATGTACATGTATTTGTTGTTACTTTTATGAAATTTATTGTGAATAAAGTTGTTAATTAGTTTAAACCTAGTAGTTTAAAAAAAACCAGACTATACTTTTAACACCATTGTATTCGATAATCCCCTTGCTTGATTAATCCCCCCATGAGAACAATAGCAGGGGGCACAGTGAGATGTCCCCATCGATTTCATTTGTCAATGGTTTGGGACAAGATAATCTTGATTCTATCTGATAGAGATTGGTGAAACTGAGTGTATGGTTTAATTGCTCGATACTTTTGAAAAAAAAAAATGTGCGATTAATTACTATGTGTCATCTTTTTATTTTGGAATTTCGGCGGGGAACATCAGCCTCACTGTTGGCTTGTTATTTATTAATTACCTTTTATTAAACATACACTGTACATCATGCAAGAACTAAATCTGCCTATTGCAGGTCTTTTTTTAGGCCTTCAATGTTATGTAAATTTTTAATTAGACATTAATTAACTTATCCAGGTCATAATCAACTCTTGTGCCATCTCTAGCCTGTGATGTTTATTGGATTAGGATCCGATTTGCTGTTTGACTTCCATTCATTATTTATTACGAAATGGATAATCAAGACTTATGTTTTTTATCGTACTGACTTTAGTAATAATAATCGAGACTAGGTCGAAAATTCAATTGCTAAAATCTCAGTTCATAGTGGATCAAATTGACAGAAATTTTCAGCAAATTCCCTTTACATTATCTACATGTAGTTTTTATATGAATGTGGATGTATATTGCCATTGTCACTGTCTGTGTGTGTGTATCGCCTACAGGCCACAATTCTTAAGTGATCATCTTGAAACTTTAAATACATACTTACATGTATTCCTTATACCCTAAGGATGATCCCCATTGTTTTTGGTGCATGTCTGACCCCCAGTGGCAGAGCCACGCCCATTTCTTGTATTTATTTGTTTGTCATCTACAGATCGCATTTCTTAAGGTATCACCTTGAAACTTTGCATACTTATTCTTTCTATCCTAAGGAACATCCCTATTGTTTGTGGTGAATGCCCAACCCCCAGGGACAGAGCCACGCCCATTTTCTTTTTGTGTGTCTGTATGTCACTTACAGCCCGCAATGCTTAATCGATTGTCTTGAAAACTTTTTTATACTTATACCTTATACTCTAAGGTTGATCTCTATTATTTTTGGTGCATGTCCGACCCCCTGGGACAGAACCACGCCAAATGTTTGTTTGTGTGTCTTTTGTGTCGCCGACAGGACGCAATTCTAAACAGATCCTTTTGAAACTTTGCAAACCTATTCCTTATACCCTAAAGATGACCCCTATTGTTTTTTGGTGATTGCCCAACCCCCAGGGTCAGAGCCACACCCATTTTTTCTTTGTGTTTCTGTGTGTTGCCAGGGGCAGAGCCACGCCCAATTTTTGTGTTTATCGTTTACAGGCCGCAATTCTGAATGGATCAACTTGGTACAAGCTTGGCATGATGTATTCCTTATAGTCTAAGGGCGTCAACTATTGATTTTATTGAATGACCCGACCCCTAGGGGCAGAGCATGCCTAATTTTTGCCTTTAGCTTCCGAAGGCCACTATTCTGAATGGATTATCTTGGAACTTGGTATACTTATTCCTTATACCCTAAGGACGGCAACTAGGTGATGCCTATTTATATTCTTCCATATCCAACCCGACTACAGACGGGTCTACAGACTGCAATTCTGAATGGATCATCTTGGAACTTCGCATATTTATTCCTTATACCGTAAAGACAGCAACTATTTATTTTGTTGAGCTTGCCCCGGCCTCCTGGGGCAGTGTCACACCCACTTTTTTGTTAATATTTTGTCTGTAAATTTGGCAAAACAAACCCAACGCCTAGGTGGCCTTCTTTGTCTCTTGTCATATTACAGACATTAGATATTTCATTCTCTTTATTTTAAAAAGTACCATATCATTCAAAGCTGGAATGTGGGCGTATATTGCAGCGTTAGCGATGCGCTTGTTAACTATTATAGTGAGAACTACCAGCTCGTTATCTAATCTCCTGTATCTTTATTTTTCAGTATGATTATGATGGAGATGGTTTATTAGACTTGGTATTTACAACAACTTCTGGACAGATACTTATATATGGTCATGATGCACGACAATTAGCACAGTTCCAAATACCACCAACTTTAGTATTGAGAGGCTGGTATAATCAAGTCTTGTCTGTACCATACTCTGACATCCAGAAGTTTATTCCTAAAGAAATCTTCCCAGAACAGGTATAATATAACATTTTTTATTTTTATAGCCTTGGTACCTTTAAGGGTATTTGATATAGCCTAGGGTACCATTAAGGGATATTTGATATAGCCCAGGGTACCATTAAGGGGTATTTGATATAATGTAGCCCAGGGTACCTTTGAGGGTATGAGATGTAGCCTAGGGTACCTTTAATTAAGGGTATTTGATATAGCCTAGGGTACAATTAAGTGTATTTGATATAGCCTAGGGTACCATTAAGGGGTATTTGATATAGCCTAGGGTACCTTTAAGGGTATTTGATGTAGCCTAGGGTACCTTTAAGGGTATTTGATATAGCCTAGGGTACCTTTAAGGGTATTTGATATAGCCTAGGGTACCATTAAGGGGTATTTGATATAGCCTAGGGTACCTTTAAGGGTATTTGATATAACCTAGGGTACCTTTAAGGGTATTAGACATAACCTAGGGTACCTTTAAGGCTATTTGACATAGCCTAGGGTACCTTTAAGGCTATTTGATATGGCCTAGTGTAACTTTAACCCGTTCACTGCGTATACCCGGTAGTACCAGGTATTATAAAATGTCGGTAAAATGCGCGTACCTGGTATTACCATGTACTCAGTAAAGCCCTCGCTAAAATTAGTACCGTAACTGAAAGTGCCATCTATTGTATTTTCTATACACTAGAACATATTTCCACGTGTTTCAAAGCGGCAAACCGTAAAATGGCGGAGTGCATAGTGACAACGTAGACGATGCACTCTCGGCGAAGTCGTGAATGACGTCTTGCTGACCAACACGTGGACAATTTCGAGGCGGGTGATACACATAATTCGTTTCCAGTTACTCGATAATGAAAGTAGTCAGGACAGTGATTGGTATTATGAAGTGTGTGATTTGTTGCGCGATGTTCCGCCCATGGCTAGCTATGTCTCCCGTGCATGATGAACAAGCCCAATGTGAACACAATAGCCCTGTGTCTGCAGTAGATTCTGACAATAATTCTGATGTTGATAATAATGCTGGCCTGCTGGATCGTAAAAGACATAGGCAATTCCTGAGTCCCGAACGTGTAGATCTATTGACTGACTATATTGATAATGATATGGGACTTGGGGATGAAAGTGAAAGTAAAAACAAACTATTGCAATCCGCACGTGGTCATGGCAGCGGGAGACGTGATGCGCGTGTTCGTGGCGGCATTGCTCATGGCTGCTATTGATATTTTTGTTCATTTTATATATCTTTATCAAAATCCAGTGAAAAAACAATATCTTTTAAGTATTTCATGGAGAAAAATTCGTTTTCGTGTTAGCTTTAGTGAGAAATGAGAAATCCAAAATGGCCACCATGACGTCACGTGACTACATTATTATGCAAATTTCCAAAATTCTATTTTTTCCTCTTAGCCCAACCCCATGCCCATCCCAACAGACAAAAAATTTTTTCATAAAAGCTTCCATAAGTACTGCTTGGCATTCAGTTCCAACCTCCCTTTTTTCCTCAAAAAAGAGTCTAGCACAGGCAGTGGATTTACGTCTAGCATTGAAAGGGTTAAGGGTATTTGAACAACGCCACAGTGACAGGGAAACCCAAACAGTGCTTGATAGATTTGCATGGGTCTTTATTAACAATGGAGGGGGGGGGACCTACGCAATGACAGATCTTATGGTGTAAAATGCACATCAGGAACACTTGATGACACTTTTCAATATTTTACTACGGTAAATGTAGGTAACATGATATTTTGTTTTTGTGTTTGTAATAATCAGTATTTTGTGATTTTATATGTTTAGATTGGTGATTATTTACCTGTAGATGGTCATGTTTTTAGCACAGTGCTTGATAGATTTGTATGGGTCTTTATTAACAATGGAGGGGGGGGACCTACGCAATGACAGATCTTATGGTGTAAAATGCACATCTGGAACACTTGATGACACTTTTCAATATTTTACTACGGTAAATGTAGGTAACATGATATTTTGTTTTTGTGTTTGTAATAATCAGTATTTTGTGATTTTATATGTTTAGATTGGTGATTATTTACCTGTAGATGGTCATGTTTTTAGCACACCTGTATTAGCTGATGTGGACAATGATGGTGAAATAAGGGAACTTGTTTTATCCGTTAGTTATCTCTTTGATGAAGAAGACTACAGGTGAGTTGGGGTGTCTGTCTGCTTAAAGTAACAAAGCACCATTTGCTTTTTTACGCTAAAATATCAAATGGCTCACGACTTAATCAATTCTAATATGTACTCATGATCAGATTGATTATTTAACATTTAATTAGGAAAATAAAATCAAAATACCGGCGTGATTTCAATCGGGTTAAAACAGGCCTGTCATTAAATTTATGTTGACAACAAAATGGCGGCATAGATGGATGCAATTTCACTTCTGTATATCTCTGTAAATATTGAATTCAACCATTTAGGAGATAAACACCTCCAGTTTCGCATTTAGAGGGGTGATATTGTCCAATAGACATTTCCTGAGATCATAAGGCCCAAAGATGCGTTGTAATATAAAATCTCAGGAAATGTCTAATGGACAATAACACCCCTCTAAATGTGAAACAAAAGGTGTTTATCGACATTGTAACTTGCTATTTTTTAGGATTTTAAAAGAACTTATTTTATTGTGTAAATTTCAAAATTCATCAAACTGCAAATCAGTTTTTGATAACGTAAAAACCACAGAAATCCATTTTGATGTAATGAAAATGTTGTGACGTAACAGGATAATTTAGAGGGGTGTCATTGAGTCAACTGGCGTGGTTTTGAATCCCCGGTTGTATGTGGCAAGGAGTAGGGTCGCCTGTCCGCCTCGTTGGTTTTCTCCGGGTCCCAGTTTCCACTCACTGTTTATGACCCCTACGCGCAAGCAAATTATTGAAATAGAATTGTACCATGTGTTGGTCTCAAAGTGGCCTAGTTTGTGCTGAGGGGATGTTAAACCCTCTCTCTCTCTCTCTCTCTCTCTCTCTCTCTCTCTCTGTGTTGGCAGAAACAATTCCTCATTAATTTACAGTGTTGTAGGACATAGGGTCTGGCAAGAAACAGAATCTAGTCATTTGGGTGGTATGGAAACCGATGCCCTGTGTACAAAGTGGCGTGCTTGTTAAAGAAACCTTTAGACAAGTAGGCTTTAGCACCTCTGTCTGCGTGCAATTGTCCTCATACAGTAGCACACCATTGAGCAGAAAAGTACAACGTTAAACCCCATTTCATTTCTGTTAGCTTATAATTAAGCGCCTAAAAGAAAGGCAATGTCACAGATATATTCCTAAAAAGTATCGACCAACATTGTTGGATCAGGAGAGATATATGATACAAAGGAAAACAAAACAGCCCATCATAATCCCAAATCTCACCCTGAACGAGAAAAAACTGATGCCAGCCCCTGTCCTTAAGGTCAGTTGAAAAGAAATTGTATCTTTCTCAAACATCACTGCCCTCCTCAGACATCACTACCCTCCTCAGACATTGCTACCCTCCTCAGACATTGCTACCCTCCTCAGACATCACTTCCCTCACAGACATCACTGCCCTCCTCAGACATCACTTCCCTCACAGACATCACTGCCCTCCTCAGACATTGCTACCCTCCTCAGACATCACTTCCCTCCTCAGACATTGCTACCCTCCTCAGATATCACATCCCCTCACAAACATCACTGCCCCTCTCAAACATCGCTACCCTCCTCAGACATCACTTCCTTCCTCAGGCATCACTTCCCTCCTCAGACATTGCTACCCTCCTCAGATATCACATCCCCTCACAAACATCACTGCCCCTCTCAAACATCGCTACCCTCCTCAGACATCACTTCCCTCCTCAGGCATCACTTCCCTCCTCAGACATTGCTACCCTCCTCAGATATCACATCCCCTCACAAACATCACTGCCCCTCTCAAACATCACTACCCTCCTTAGACATCACATCCCCTCACAAACATCACTGCCCTCCTTAGACATCACATCCCCTCCTAAACATCACTGCCCCTCTCAAACATCACTACCCTCCTTAGACATCACTGCCCCTCTCAAACATCACTGCCCTCCATAGACATCACTGCCCCTCTCAAACATCGCTACCCTCCTTAGACATCACTGCCCCTCTCAAACATCACCGCCCCTCTCAAACATCACTACCCTCCTTAGACGTCACTGCCCTCTCAGACATAAAATTGAACCATATATGTTAGTCCCGAAAAGACTTGGTTTGTGCCGAGTGGACGTTAAACCCCATTTCTCTCTCTCTCTCTCTCTCTCTCTCTCTCTCTCTCTCTTCTCCATAGCATATGTTAATCCAAAATATTGGTTTTATAGGCTAGAAAAAGGACAAGAAAAATTGGAAGTTTTACAACATCCTGAATTGAGTAAATATCTGGTTGCTGGGGTAATGGTTGTTGATCTGAAAAAGCTAGAAATTATCTGGAGTGTTGAACTAGAACTAACCCAGGTAAATTTTACATCATTTTCATATAAATAGAAAAGTGGGTAAGATGCTTGCTTGCTAGCCTGGAGATCCCGTGTTCGATCCTTGCATTGGCCGAGAAAGTTCATTGAGATATTCCGACATGGTTTCCCTTTGTCAGTGGTGCAGGACAGAGCACCTGACAAGAATAGCTGTCTTATCGTTTGGATGGGACGAAAAAACAAGGACGCGTGTATAGGCCTACATTGGCATGCACATAAAAGATCCCTTGGCAGTTGGAATTCGATATAAGAGTAGGCCATAGTGCTGCTGCCCGGGCAAAATTTCCCTCATAGCACACTGTATGGCGTATGCCCGTCTTCATTAGCCCAGTTTAGGAGCAGAACAGTAGGACGTTAAACCCCATTTCATTTCATTTCCAGCGCCATTTTGCCATTTGATTAAAATACAGGTCTATACTTTTTTTCGGTTTTTTTGTACTTCGATAGCCTCCACAACATTGCGATTTGACTAAATGTAGTTGGGGGGTCTCATCATATATATATACACAGATCTATATTTCGTTCCGTATTTTTCTGCTTTCTTTGTTTGTACTTACTGACATAAAATTGTACCATGTGTTAGTCCCAAAATGACCCCATTTGTGTTGAGTAGACATAAAAACCACAACTTTCGCTCTTCTTTTTTTGAAGGTTTTTGCTGAGCTTCCAGCGTACAATCTATTTACTCCAACTGTCATTGACCTTGATGGAAAAGCTGGTGACCTTGAAATAGTTGTCGGAACATCTACAGGAGGGGTACATGTTTTGACCTCAAAAGGTCAACAGAGAAAAGGGTTTCCTTATAATGGAAATCCCCTTCATGGCCAGGTAATAGATTTATTAAAAAATAACACAGGTTGAATACATTGAGGTAGCCTGACTGAGTGATCCCTCAAAATATTTAGGCTACATCCAGTTAGCTTGACTGGGTTATTCCTAAAAATATATATATGATATATCCAGTTAGCTTGACTGGGTTATTCCTAAAAATATATAGGCTACATCCAGTTAGCTTGACTGGGTTATTTTTAAAAGTATATAGGCTACATCATACAGTGGGGTATCTTGTCTTGGCTATTCCTGAAAATAACATAGTTATGGAGGTTGCAACACCATACATAGTGTTTCCATGGGAGACCAAAATGTCAAAAGCAAATTTTCATTGCATAGCAGGCCTGGAAGTAATGGTTTTAGATGTACCTGACAAAATGTCAGGCACTAATGAAATAGTGCCTGACATTTTCAACTAAGTGCCAGACATGTATTAATAATATGAATAAGAAAGACCAATGAGTGTCAGTCAAAATGACAGACACCAGAGAGGTTTAATGCCTGACAAAGCCTGAATCTGTGTCTGACATTGTCTGTGACAGATGCTTTATTTCCAGGCTTGCATAGGCTTCGGTAACCAAGTCATCACGTGTTACTTATAGATATATTATGGGAGATTAGATAAAGAGCTGGTAGTTCTCACTATAATAGTTAAAAATACATTATGGGAGATTAGATAAAGAGCTGGCAGTTCTCACTATAATAGTTAAAAATACATTATGGGAGATTAGATAAAGAGTTGACAGTTCTCACTATAATAGTTAACGATACATTATGGGAGATTAGATAAAGAGCTGGTAGTTCTCACTATAATAGTTAAAGATACATTATGGAAGATTAGATAAAGAGCTGGTAGTTCTCACTATAATAGTTAAAGATACATTATGGGAGATTAGATAAAGAGCTGACAGTTCTCACTGTAATAGTTAAAGATACATTATGGGAGATTAGATAAAGAGCTGGTAGTTCTCACTATAATAGTTAAAAATAGATTATTAAAGATTAGATAAAGAGTTGACAGTTCTCACTGTAATAGTTAAAGATACATTATAGAAGATTAGATAAAGAGTTGACAGTTCTCACTGTAATAGTTAAAAATACATTATAGAAGATTAGATAAAGAGCTGGTAGTTCTCACTATAATAGTTAAAGATACATTATGGAAGATTAGATAAAGAGCTGGCAGTTCTCACTATAATAGTTAAAAATAGATTATAGAAGATTAGATAAAGAGATGACAGTTCTCACTATAATAGTTAAAAATACATTATAGAAGATTAGATAAAGAGTTAACAGTTCTCACTATAATAGTTAAAGATACATTATGGGAGATTAGATAAAGAGTTGACAGTTCTCACTATAATAGTTAAAGATACATTATGGGAGATTAGATAAAGAGCTGGTAGTTCTCACTGTAATAGTTAAAGATACATTATGGGAAATTAGATATAAAGAGCTGGCAGTTCTCACTACAATAGTTAAAAACTAGATAATGTAAAGGGGATATGCTGAAAATTTCAATCAAATTGATCCACTCTGAACCGAGATATTAGCGATTGAATTTTAGGCTTAGCCTCGGCCATCATTACTAAAGTCGGTAAAATAAAAAAACATAGTCTATATTATCCATTTTTGGTTTTAATCATGAATGATTCAAATCCAGTAAATATTGCAGGCTAGCGATGACATCGCTAGTTGATTAAGGTCTGGATCAGTTAATTAATGTGTAATTAATAATTTAGATAACATTTCAGGCCTAAAGAAAGACCTGCAATAGGCAGATTTGGCTCTTGCATAATGTATGTTTAATAGTTTATATAACATTTCAAGCCTAAAGAAAGACCCCCAATAGGTAGATTTAGCTCTTGCATAATGTATGTTTAAGCTGGTCACCATAGTAACGAAAGCATATATTAGTCTTTCATGAATATTTTGTTTTTCCTTTCAGATAACTGTAGCAGATATAAATAACGATGGTAACTTGGAAATGGTTACCATAGATACCAGTGGAAATGTCAACGTCCTAACCTCAGATGGAACCAGTTTGTGGGAATCGGAAATATCTGGAACTTCTTCTCCTGGAAGTAGAATCGCTGATTTAAATAATGATGGCATTCCTGATATAATTATTCCTACTAATAATGGGTTCGTATAGGATGATTCGTTAAAACATTAATAATAATAATAATGGGCTAGTATATATACAATGATGTACGTAATACAAGGTGGGGTTGGGTGGCCGAATGGTTAACGCGTGCGCGTTGTATCATAAAGTCTGTCATTGAGTCAGCTGGCATGGTTTCGAATCCCCGGTTGTATGTGACAAGGAGTAAGGTCACTTGTCTAACCTCATGAGTTTTCTCCGGGACCTCCATTTTACTGGACCCCTAAGCACTAGCGAATTATTGAAATAAAATTGAACCATATTAGTCCAAAATGTCCTAGTCGATGTCGAGTGGATGTTAAACACCATTTCTCTCTCTCTCTCTCTCTCTCCATATCCCAGTGAAATTGTTGGTTCTATTTTTAAAGGGATATTTAAATTTTAACGGGAGATTTTCATTTGGTCTGACATGGTTATCAAATTCTTGTTTTACATTTAGACATTGATGGGAAGAAAGCAATGATTGGTTGAAAAGAATTGCATTGTCTCCGATCAGTCAAAATATTTGGTTAGGTAATACGGAAAAGAGTATTGTGGCAACAAATGATAAACCGCTTCATTTAAAAGTCCATAAGGTCATAAATTTGTTAATTCTGTTTCCAGTGATATTAATGTATTTCTATGTTTTCAGTGATATTTTTGTATTTCCATATTTTCAGTGATATTTATATATTACTATGTTTTCAGTGATATTTTTGTATTTCTATATTTTCAGTGATATTTATATATTACTATGTTTTCAGTGATATTTTTGTATTTCTATATTTTCAGTGATATTTATATATTACTATGTTTTCAGTGATATTTTTGTATTAAATGGTACAAATGGGGATGTTCTACCAGGATGGCCAGTCAAGTTTAATAGTAGAATAACGGCTAATGTTCTCTTGATGAAATTCACACCCAGAGGTCCACCTGATATTGTAAGTACAATTATTCATTCAATGTTGTAAAGACTGAATGATTTTTTATTAAAATGATAAAACTCCCAGTGTTGGCCCGTAAAGCTTTTCAAGATTTGCTGGCGGGTTTCCCCCTTGTCAGTGGTGCAGGACAGAAGACACAGCAAGAAAGGGATAAAGAATCCTTGATAGTTGGAATTTATTATGAGAGTGGTGTGCACATAAAAGATCCCTTGACAGTTGGAATTCGATATGAGAGTAGGCCATAGTGCCGCTGTACGGGCAAATTTTCCCTCATAGCACACTAAAAGGCATATGCCCGTCTTCATTAGCCCAGTCGGAGCAGATCAGTAGGACGTTAAACCCAATTTCATTTCATTTCTTTATTAGTTCAGTCGGAGCAGATCAGTACATACAATGTTCAACTGTCAGCTGTCCAGGCAAACTTTCCCTCATAGCACATTGTAAGGCATAGCCCAGTCGAAGCAAAACAGTAGGTCGTTATTTCCTTTCAAAACAATCATTGATGTCTTGTTTCCTTCCTTGCTAGGTATTTACAACAGATGATGGAAGTTTACATATTCTAGCCGGTGACCAACGTTGTAAGGTTCACATTCCAATTGGTGAAACCTCGTTGGTGGAAGTCTTGTCACATGATCTTGTGATAATGTCGGAAGGGGTGGAGTTATTAATTGCGACGAAGGATGGCTCGTTGATTTGTCTTGGATCGGGAATGGAGACGCCACCTGAAGCGTGGATCGGAGAAAAGATGGTGAAAAGAAATCAGATGATTGCTTGGCCGTCTGCTACTAAATCTATTAATGATTTTAGTTTTTTTCCTAAAAAGGTAAAGGTAAAAGTTATAAATTCTGATGATAGAACCACTGTTATAATATATCGTCACATTTAGAATATCGGGAACGAATGTAAGGGCATACTCCTCGCAGTGTTTTGTTTGATTAGAGGTAATCCCACTTAACACTGCTGTAAGGGCATACTCCTCGCAGTGTTTCGTTTGATTCGAGCTAATCCCACTTTACACTGCTGTAAAGGAAGCAAATTTCTGTTCCAAATTATGACTGGTCAATTTTCCGATTAACAACCAATAACTAAATAAATATGTTTACATTATGTTACATCATGATTCACAGAATTAACCAGATTTATAACGCCCAATTAACCAGTGCATAGCAGAATATTGCAGAGAAACTAATTGCGTTACAAACGAGGCTATCAAACGGCTACAATGTAAACAATACTTTCACCATTTTTGATACCTTAAATCACTGTCCAAAGTTTTAGGGGAGACCCCAGATTAAACGAAGGGCTGTCATGTTGCTGTACTTGGGATAGATTTGATTTAAGATAGATTTGATTGAACGGGAAGAATAGACACACTCCCTCAAAAGCTCAAGTATCAGAAGCCAATCCATCGATGACCAGAGAGGGATTTCTCGGGCCATTGCTTCAGGAATTTTGAATGTTAAAATAAACCTCAAATATTGTGTGTCGGATAGATTTTCTTCTGACCCTGAACTACGCTATAACTTGTGGAAAAACAGCTACTGGGCATGGTTTAGAAGACTATTCTCTTAATATTATCAACCTACTATTGTAGTAGCTGTGTTTTACCATATGTATGTATTATAGTTTATTTAGACAATATTATTTTTATTTTTCAGCCATTTGTTTATATCCCATTCCATATACGTCACATTAAAGAAGTCACAGGCAGTTCGTTTTGGTTTGAGTTTGAAATAATTGATGATTTGATCACCGGAAGGAACTCAGATCAATATTTTGTAAAGGTTTGTGCCTTGTTTTATCGGATTTTGTTTATTCATCATCTTGTGTTTGTTTATTCATCTTGTGTCTGTTTATTCATCTTGTATCTGTTTATTCAGGAGCCGCTGTGGTTCAGTCAATAAGACATATCTAACAACACTCTCTAAATTTTGTGGATCCATGATGGCTCATTGGGTAAGACGTGGTCTCGCAAACCTGTTCACAGAGAAAGTTGATCAGGAATTTTCGTTGTGGTTCCCCTGGTCAATGATACGGAGGGCCAGGCAAGGAACAACGTATAGTCGTTCGAATGGGACAAAAAAAAAAACGAGGTCCTGTGTACTCAATGAAGAGCACCTAAAAGAAACCTTGGCAGTTGGAATTTTGATATAAGAATAGACGGTAGCGCTGTGTGTGTTCGGTCAAAATTTCCCTCATAGCACATTGTATGTGGTATGCCTGTTTTCATTAGCACAGTCGGAACAGATCCATAGGACATTTAAACCCCATTTCATTTCATTTCATTTCACTAAATTTAGCTCAAATGTTATATTTTTTCAGTGAACTTCAAACATTAAGACCTATTTCAGATATCAAAATTATAATTATTTTATTTAAAGATTTTATATGGTAGAAATCTTCTGGCTTCCTACACCTATAATAAACCGGGCGTCTACAGAGAGTATATCAAAGTTTGGCCTAAACCAGGACATGGTCATGTGACAATTTATGTAACCAATCGTTATGGACAGGTTTTTATGGATACATTTGGAATACGGTAAGATTAGTCACCAAAATATATCAAAGATCTGATTACCCCATATAAAGGGGGGTTGGGTGGCCGAATGGTTATAGCACGTGTTTGATGTATCAAACGGCCTGTCATTGAGTCAACTGGCGTGGTTTCGAATCCACGGTTGTACGTGACAAGGAGTAGGGTCGCCTGTCCAACCTTGTGGGTTTTCTCTGGGTCCTCCGGTTTCCTCCCACTGCTAAAGACCCCTACGCGCAAGCAAATTATTGAAATAAAATTAAACCATATGTTAGTCCTGAAATGACCTAGTTTGTGTCGAGTGGATGTTAAACCCCATTTCTCTCTCTCTCACCCCATATAAATCTACAAGAACTATTAGATCCACAGATGAACAATTTCTGTATCAACCATCAGTGAATCTTGATTATCGCGCTATATAAATAGAAGATTATTAGGCCACACAAAATAAATGTCTTGTTTCTCGGGCAACTGACAGCTGAAACTGTAGGGAGGGAGGGCGGTTTCTTTTTTTTTTTTACTCATTGATGGTGCAAAATAAAATTTGGCTATTGCTGAAAATTGTTGGGGCGGGAGGGCGGTCTTTCTTTTTTTTTTTTTAAATGAGAAAGTCATTACTTGTTTACGTTTTTGCTTTCCGTTATATTCAACTTTATTGTACATACTTAAAACATAAACCCAAAATCAAGTCTACTAAAACACTGAGACTGAACACTGACTGAAAGGAAAATAATTTTCCATATTTAATTCACATAATTGAAATTGGTTTAAAATAAAATTCCATACGACTATGTAATAGCCCTCCATAAAGACAACAATATTTTTAAAAACTAAGCCTCTTTCACCAGGTGTATCAAAAATAATAATCATGGTAAACAGTATTTAAAACTAAATCTAGTATCGCCGGTTTATTTATAATTATTTACCGAATTCCAACCAATGCATGTCACACCGTGTCATCGGTATTGGAGATTGCCGGAAATACTGTTTCTTGGGATATTCGGTGTGTTTCTCAGGATATTCGGTGTGTTTCTCAGGATATTCGGTGTTCTATCCGGTGTTTATATTGAATGGCTATTTAAATCTAACTAACAACTGGTCAGTAAAACCATCAAATCGGTAATCCAATTATTATTTTCCGGATTATCGAAACTACCGTAAATGTGCTAATAATGACCCAGATTCTAAGGTATGCATTATGACGACTATCGTCATCGTATCGTATTCTTAGCTATAATTAATTAACCTGTTCTACGGTTCATTATTTTATCAATAGGATTTTCCAAACAAGGACCGACTGAAGCCGGCAATAATGAGCCGATTACGATCGAATGATTGAAATATTGTCGCCAATGACTTTTAACACGAATCAAATTCTAGTTTATCAGGGGAGGTAATTAATATCACGTGATACAAAATGGAGGTTCTTTCGATATCAATAAAAAAGGCAAATCTGCCAAACTTCGCCATTGTTCGGATAAAAAAGACAGCATGTTCATCTGAATCAGTTTTAATACATTTGAATAGATATACATGTATGGCGGATGTAGGTACATGCGGGATATTTTTTTTAAGACTTGCTTGTCGATGTGCGGGCGGGCGTTACATATTTATTTTTTTTCATCAAGACTAATAAATAGACTGCACGCGCAACCAATTTTGCGTGCGGGCGGTGCCCGAGAAACAAGTTATTTTATTTGTGTTGCCTTATTATTATGATATTTTTATAGGATTATACATAATTCATGGCTATCTTACGTGGGTTGGGTGGTGTAAGGTGCTCATGGGTTTTCTCTGGGTCTCCTGGTTTCCTCCCACTGCTAAAAGGAGAGAAATGGGGTTTGACTTCCACTTGACACAAACTAGATAATTCCAGGACTAACACATGGTTCAATGTTATTTCAATAATTCTCTTATGGTTAACCATCTAAATAAGTGGGAGGAAGTCCTGTGTACACATTGGTGTGCATGTAAAAGAGCCCATGGCAGTTGGAATTCGATATATGATTGTAGCGCCGATGTCCGAACAAAATTTCCCTCATAGTACACTGCATGGCGTATGCCCGTCTTTATTAGCCCAGTCGGAGCAGAACAGTAGGACATTAAACCCCATTTCATTTCATTTGTTTATTAGCCCAGTCGGAGTTGATCAGTACATACCACGTCTAACCCCATTTCATTGCATTTCATTATTAGAAAGGTGTGCTAGTTGTCAAATTTATTGAGATTTCCAGAACAATATCTGTTCAGATATAAGATTAGGCCGCAGCGACACTGTCCTATCACACTGTATGGCGTATATCCTAGACTAGTCAGAGCAGAACAGTAGGACGTTAAACCCCATTCCATTTTATTAGAAAAGTGTCCTAGAGTAGTTCCGATATTATAACCTAACTATTATACAATTTCTTTTTTATCATTTAGTTTCAACCAGCTTATTCTTCAAGATCTTCAATGGTTACTTCTAGCTCCATTCATTGCCATGGTAACCATATTACTCATCAATCACGGTTTTCCAGCCAAAGATCTACTTCCTGTTACGTTTCAGTCGAAGACAAATTGAAACCTTGGTTATGAAAGATACATCTTGTGATACATCTTTGTATCATGGTGTGATTGGATATTTACGAGAGAATTAGAACTTTTGTTTTGTATTGTATCTTGCCCGGAGTCGCGGTGGCTTAGTAAGTAAGAAGTTGGCTCGCTAATCTGGAAGTTATGTGTTAGATCTCAATGTTGACAGAGAGAGTTCATTGGGCTTTTCTGGCGTGCCCCCTGCTTGTCAGTGGTGCAGGACGGAGGGCCTGGCAAGGGACAAAGTATAGTCATTTGGAAGGGACAAAAAACTGAGATCCCATTTACACATTGACGTGCACGTGAAAGAACCCTTGGCAGTTAGAATTCATTAGCACAGTCGGTGCAGAACAGTAGGACGACATTAAACCCCAATTTCATTTCATTTCATTTTATGTTTATGAGAGAATGTCACCCGTTGTGATAACTGACCTTTGTATTGCATCTTAAAATTTTCTGGTATAATTCATGACATCAAAGATATAATAGTATCTATGATGTGTAGAAATTGGGGGCTTGGATGGCCAACGGGTTAGCACGCATGTGCTGTATCATAAGGTCTGTTATTGAGTCAAATAGCGGGGTTTTGATTCCCCAGTTGTATGTGACAAGGAGTAGGGTCGCCTGTCCAACCTCGTGGGTTTTCTCCGGGTCCTCCGGTTTCCTCTCATTGCTAAAGACCGTAAGCACAAGTGAATTATTGAAATAAAATTGAGCCATGTGTTAGTCCAGAAATGACCTAGTTTGTGTTGAGTGGACAGTTAAACTATCTCTCTCTCTCTCTCTAACTCTCTCTCTCTCTTTCTCTCTCTCTCTCTGTAGTAATCATTGGTATTAATCATATATTGAAGTATAATAATTAAAATTAGATCGGTCTAGCATTATTTCCTTTGATTTCCGGGCATTAACTATGCAGCTATATCGAGAGTGTTTTCAAATTAGATTAAATGCAACAACTGAGACAGGAGTTCAGCCATCCATGTGCAAAATTATAACTGTTATTGTTGTAGATCTAGCAGTCAATTCTGTAGATCTAGCCGTCAACATCATATATCTGTTATTGCTGTAGATCTAGCAGTCAACATCGTAGATCTGTTATTGCTGTAGATCTAGCAGATAGAACTGTTGTTGCTGTAGATCTAGCAGTCAATATCTTAGAACTGATGTTGCTGTAGATCTAGCAGATAGAACTGTTGTTGCTGTAGATCTAGCAGTCAAATCATGTATCTGTTATTGCTGTAGATCTAGCAGATAGAACTTTTGTTGCTGTAGATCTAGCAGATGGACCTGTTAATGCTGTAGAGCTACCAGATAGAACTGTAGAACTAGCAGTCAACATCATGAAGCTGTTCATTATATGAATGAATACCCATTGTAATTTTATCATCTGATGTAAATATTTGTATTTTGTTGGGAATTTGGAAATATTTATAACAAGTAGTGGGAGCTATTGTAAAATTAATTACATATTAAAAGGTTTTTCATGTATCATTTTCATTTTTATAAATAAATTTAATATGTATAAAAATGTATTTGTTCTTGTTTGTAAGTACATACCACTATAGTATTATGCACTTTGAGACATTTACATATCTTTATGGGCAGTCGTGGTGGGTCTGTGAGTAAGATGCTAGCTCCTGCTAACCAAGAGGTCCCAGGTTCCCCCTTGTCAGTAGGGAAGAAGGGAGTGCCTGACAAGGACAATGTATAGTCATTCGGTTGGGACGTCAAACTGATGCCCCATGTACACATCGGCGTGCAGGTAAAAGATCCCTTTGCAGTTGGAAATCGACATAAGAGTAGACAGTAGCTCCGCTCTCCTGGCAAATTTTCCCTCTCAGTACACTGCATGATGTATACTCATCTTCATTAGCCCAGTCAGAGCAGAACAATAGGAGGTTAAACCCCATTTCATTTCATTTATATTCTACATTCCTGGAGGGTGTCTTGCTACATATAGCTTTATACAGTGTTGTAGTTCTAAAAAGGAAACGTATTTTGAAAAAAATACGCAAATGGTGGGGGCCGTAGAGGAGGGGGTTGGGGCTGGTGGGCAAAAAACTTTCTTTTCACTTACCAACTCGACACAAACCAGGTCATTTTGGGACTAACACATGTTTCAATTTTATTTCAACAATTCTCTAGCACGTAGGGGTCTTTAGCAGTGGGTGGAGACCAGAGAAAACCTACGAGGTTTAACAGATGACCCTACTCCTTGTCACGTACAAGTGGAGTATCGAAACCACGCCAGTTGACTCAATGACAGACCTTATGATCAAACGTGCACGCGTTAACCATTCACCCACAGAAACTTTAGCACTTTATGCTAATCTGGCATTAACACATACTATTTTAAATTTTTTTCTAAAAACAGCTTAAATATCAGAGAGAGAGAGAAAAAAAATGGCGTTTAAGGTCTACTCAACACAAACTGGGTCATTCCGGGACTAACAAATGGTTCAACTTTATTTCAATCATTCGCTTGCGAGTAGGGGGTCGTTGGCTGTTGGAGGAAACCAGATGAGCCGGAGACGCCCCGCCTCCCTCTGTCTCTCTCTCTTTCTCTCAGTTTGGTTTATAACACACAATCGTATCTGAAATCGAAAACAGGAAACAGGATGCAGTCTCACAGGATCTTGTAATGTTAAAATTATGGTCTACGCAATTTTTCTTTTAACTAATCAGCATTGCGATCTAATTGTACGGATGTAAATAATTAGTTGCCGCTAACTCTTACTTTTTTATCACTCGAATTTTAAGTATCGTCATCAGATATTTCCGTATAAAACTGGTAATTGTTTGTACCAAGCTCCCGAGTTTTAAGTTATAGCTAGGTAGGGGTGTACATAACGATTTTGTTTGGGGGAGGGGGGGGGGGGTGTTTAGCAAAAGTGCGACCGACAGAGAGAGAGAGAGAGAGAGATGGGGTTTAACGTCCACTCGACACAAACTAGATCATTTCGGGACTAATATATGGTTTAATTTTATTTCAATAATTCGCATGCCCGTAGGGGTCTTTTAGCAGTGGGGGGAACCGGAGAAAACCCACGAGGTTGGACAGGCGACCCTTCTCCTTGTCACGTACAACCAGGGATTCGAAACCACGCCAGTTGACTCAATGACAGGCTTTATGATACAGCGCGCACGTGCTAACCATTCGGTCATCCACTCCCCATAAAATGCGACCGACTGATGCACATGCCCCTAATACGATAGTGATGCAGCCAGGAGTCGAGCACCGCTAGTGCGAGTTTGCAGAATTCTGATGGTCAGAAAACACTTATAACATGAGTAAATACGATTTAATATTTCTACTGGGATTGAATATGCAACAAATAAAAATTCTTAAGTTCAATAGATTGCCTTAACATTTCATAATTTAAAGATATTTTTACGTATTTCTCAAAACAACTTACCATTTCTTTTACCAATCCAAAAGATAAAACTATGCTTCCGGTAACTTCTTATCAACTGTTCGACTAATATTATTCGTATGACAATCAAGAATATATTTTAAAGTATAAAAATCTTTGTAACAAGCTCTCTTAATTTCTTATACCAACATACTCATAACAGAATAAGAGCAAAAAACATTTTTTTTCAAACATGACATGGTTATTTAAAGGTTTTTTGTTTACCTCAATAATTCATTTAGTGAACAGTGAACACTTATTTTGAGACCGACTATTTTTCTCCCTGGGGGAAAACATTTCTTAGACCAACATGGCAACATCGCACAACAGAATAAGATTGAAAAACAAGTTGACAAGTTTATTTTATACTATAGTTTTGCCTGAGGAGCTTGACGTATGCAATTTAGGCGTACAGATTGACGCAAATACGCTATTCGATCACGTCATTAATTCATTTAGTCGCCGATGCATAATTTTTTAGACCGACAGCACTCATTTTGCGACCGACTACTTTTCTTCGCTGGGGGGGGGGGGGGTATCACCCACCCAACCACCCCCACATTTACGCCCCTGTAGCTATGTCAATATAATGCTGTAATAAAAAGCTAGTAATTCTTTCTATCAACGTCAGTTACAGGTCATAGCTCAGTATATAATGTTATTATTACCATAGATTTAATAATAATGTGTTATAAAATGATAACTGCAGATAAATTGTTGATGTTTATTGTTCTGTCAAGTCAAGTTAGCTCCATATTTGGTAAGTTCAAAACACCTTTTCTTGTTCTGTCAAATCAAGTTACCTCTATATTTGATAAGTTCAAAACACCTTCTGTCAAGTCAAGTTAACTCTATATTTGGCAAGTTCAATACACGCTTTTCTTGTTCTGTCAACTCAAGTTTGCTCTATATTTGGCAAGTTCAACACACATTAAATTTTTTCATGTTCTGTTTAGTCAAGCTAACTCCATATTTGGTAAGTTCAGAACACCTTATCTAGTTCTGCCAAGTCAAGTTACCTCTATATTTGGTAAGTTCAAAACACATTGTCTTGTTCTGTCAAGTCATTTCTATATTTGGTAAGTTCAATACACATTTAATTTTGTTTATTACTGGGGTCTTTTTTTATTTTTCTTCAAAATATTTCACCGAGAGATGCTTTACAATTTGATTAAAACACAGATCCTATTTCGTTTCGTTTTTTATAGTTCAAAATTTCGTTTTACATGTCTTTACTATAATTAATAGAGGCCATCGAAAGTATAAAAACAAAAGAAACGAAATAAAGATCTATATTTTAATCAGATTGGATGCTTTATGTAAGATTTAGATGAAGAGCTGACTGTTCTCGCTATAATAGTTAGAAACTAGAAAAGGAAAAGAGAATATGTTGAAAAAATTTCAGTCAAATTACTTCATTCTAAGCTAAGTTAGGGCTGTTTGGAGAATTGGCATTTAACGTACAAAAACAACACAGCTTCAAGCGAACGGTATGGAATTACGAACACGCAGACCTTGGGGGCATAAAAAGGGACGTTATAGCAACTAAATGGTACAATCTTATCAATAGTTCAAATATAGAAGCAGCGTGTGTCCAATTTACAAGCTCATTGATCATTATAGCAAAAGCAAATATACCATGCAAAATAGTGACAATTAGGCAACATGATAAACCCTGGATGAATGGCGCAATCATCCCAAACTTAGGCTGCCTGTCTACAGCTAGCTCCGCCTGAGAACAGACCCTAAGCTAATTACCCGACATTTTAATTCCTACATCGACGATTTTAGTGGAAAATACTGAGTATGCTTTTAGTATTTATTTCTCTTCTATTGTCATATTAAATGAAATTAAATATGTTTATTAAGCCGCTGTGTGTATGAAAGATGTCAAACTAATCAAAGCCGAATCACAAAATAGTCCTAATTATTAAATATGGCGGCGCCCATGAAACATAATTTCACAGAGGCGGTTTTGTTTGTGAAGACAAATTTAGGAGTATCTAACCTTGTTTTGAAAGATAAACAGATTGAAACACTAAAGACAGTTTACAATGACAAAGAATGTATTGCAATATTAACCACTAGCACATATTCTATACCGCTTTTAACGTAGTGGCAGAAGTTGAGATTTTGCCAATGACACGTGTTTACATAATACATGTGCTTCATCGGGTTATTTTTACTCTGTTGTGTACACAAGGCAGTAGTCCCGTCGACAAGTCCCGCCCCAAAATGATCACGTGAGCGTTTTAAATGGAGTCTAACTGGGGCAGTGATCATAATCTCGAAGTATGACGTAGAAGGATCGCTGCGTGCAGTTTGTGGCGCAATAAGACGCATGAAAAAGAAGAAAAATAGATTGGCAAAATTTTAGGAAAATTAGAAATGACTACATAGACTTAATTAGAAAAAGCAAAAATGATTACTTTGACAAAATAGACAACCAAATTAGTGAAACAGGAAAGAAACTTAATCATTCATATACTACATGTAAAACACACGCTGCTTCTACAAACGAACCTCCGCCATTAACAGTCAATGGTAACACTTTGTTTACTCAATCCGAAAAAGCAAATGGCTTTAAACTCATTATTTATCAAACAATCACAGCTAGATAATACTAATAAATCTCTACCACTGCTTGTTATGAACCCTAACAGCATCGATAAGATTGTACCAAATCCAGAGGAAGTTAAAGACATAATAGAAAGCCTAGATACTACAAAAGCCTCAGGACCCGACGAAATAAACACGAAAATTCTAAAATACACCTTTAACGAAATTAATCATCCACTTTACCAACCTTTTAAACTATCATTAGATCTACACATTGTACCAAACATTTGGAAATTTGCAAACGGGGTCGCTATATTCAAAAAATGCTCTCCAAACGATTGTAGTAATTATAGACCAATCTCCCTCTTAAGTATAATAGTCAACATGTTTGAAAAAATCATCCACAAACATGTCTTTAACTTCTTTAGAGATAATCTTTAGAGATAACTCAATACTAACACCTGTCCAGAGTGGCCTTCTTCCTGGTGATTCTACCATATTTCAACTAATCGACCTAACACACTTCTTCTGTCGCGCCATCGACCAACATCAATATACTAGAATAGTCTTCTGTGGTATCAGCAAGGCCTTTGACAGGGTTTGGCATGCCGGACTCTGTCACAAGCTGGATGCTGTGGGAGTTCCAGGAGATGTACTGCTCTGGTTCGTAGATTATTTAAAAAATAGACAACAATGTGTAACCATCAGTGGTACCTCCTCGGACCCCAGAAGCACAGCTGTTGGTGTTCCGCAGGGATCTGTACTAGGGCCTCTTTTATTCTTAATATACATAAATGATATTGGGAACAATATAAATTCAAACATTAGATTATTTGCTGATGATACCTCTTTATACTTAAAAATTGAAGACCCCGAAGTTTGTGCTGCTACCATAAACGATGAGACATGGCTGGTAACTTTTAACCCCCTAAAAACAGAGACACTGACTATTACTACTAAACCCCACATAGTTAACCCACCATTATTTATGAACCAGGTACAAATCAAAGAAGTATAATATGAATATAAACATCTAGGTCTAATCTTTCAAACTAACTGTAAATGGAATAATTATATAGATAGCATTGTAAGCAAAGTATCCAAACTAGTAAATTGCCTCCGTTCTCTAACATATCGATTAAATAGAAAATATACTCTTCTTATATCCTTCCACAATTTGATTATGTCGATATTATCTGGGATGGGTGCAGTGATTATTTAGCTAACAAACTAGAATGCCTACAATTAGATGCACTGCGCACTATCTGTGGGGCGGTAAGAGGTACTAGCCATGCCTTAATCTATAACGAGACTGGGTTTGTTCCACTCTCGGAAAGACGTCGACATCATAAATTAAAATTAATGTATAAAATTATTAACAACCTCGTGTCATCATATCTCTCTGATCAATTATACCATTAGAAACAAAGATAAACTAAAGTAAACCAGATGCAGAACCGAAATTTTCTCCGAGTCCTTCATCCCTGCCAGTATACGAGAATGAAACAAACTTAACGTTGAAATTAGAAACTCTCGATCCCTTGCTATCTTTGGAAATTCACTAAATAAATAAATTAGATACCATCGTGCCATCATATTACTATACAGGGATACGAAATTTACAAATAATCCACTGTAAACTAAGATTATGCTGCTCGAACCTACAAGGCCATAAATTCCTCAGACACGTCGATGATAGCCCTGCTTGCCTCTGTGATCACAAATTCGAAGATCCCGAACACTACTTAATCGTATGTCACTTATATTCAGTTGCAAGAAAACAGACAATCCATAACCTTCAACATAATCATAAAACAATCAGTTGTCTGATGTATGGTTCAACAAAATTAAGTCCTGAGATAAACACACTCATTTTTGAAGAAGTCCAACAATTTATTCTCTTATCAAAAAGATTTGAATCTCCATAAACAACTCTTAAGTCATTCCAAACTCTGCACTCTGTATAATCATCCAAGTCGCTATATTATCCATGATGTATCATATATGCTCTATATTTTATGTAATTATATGTAAATATTTATAATGTGTACAAGTATCTAAATCAGAGAGAGGGGTTGCGCATATGCATAGCCTGATCCCCAATCCAAATTCAGATTTAATAAATAAAAATATTGTTTAAAAAATAGTGGAGCCTCGATTGTCGTTGTTAAAATCTCGATTATCTATTTTTATACGCCCACATTTTCATGTGGACGTATATTGTCGTCGCCTCTGTCCGTCCATTCGTCCGGACCTCTGGACGTCCGGAAGTCCGTCCGTCCACTATACAGGTCACAATTCTTATCCGATTTCAACGAAACTTGAAATGTAGGTTTATCTCCCCAAGATCTCGGTTCCTTTCGATATTGGCATGTATCGGAAAGTAACTTCATGGATTATGGCCCCTGATTCTACGAAAAATCACGTTTTTAGCTTGTGAACACTGTAGCCGTAGGGGTCACAATTTTTATCCGATTTGGTTTATACTTGAAATATATGTTTATAATTACCCACAGATCTCGGTTCCTTTCGATATTTGCGCATATCGGACCATAACTTCCTGAATTATGGCCCCTGATGTACGAAAAATCGCGTTTTTAGCTTGTGGACCCCATAGAGGTCACAATTTTTATCCGATTTAAAAAAAACGTTTGAATACATCACCATTACACCCTAAGGATGGTTGAGTTCGAATTTAGTAAAAAAATCGGACCCAAACTGACGAACAAAATGGCCGCCACTCGTTCGCAAATAGTGTCAAAATATTGTGTATCAGGGTTGTGGACCCTCTGGAGGTCACAATTGTCATCTGATTTTGATGAAATTTAAAATGCTTGTTTACAACCCGAATATCTTGGTTCCTGTCTATTTTCGTGCATACCGAATAGTAACTTCCCGAATTATGGCCCCTGATTTTACTTAAAATCGCGTTTTTAGCTTGTGGTCGCTCTAGAGGTCACAATTATTATCCGATTTAAAAAAAAACGTTCGAATATATCACCGTTACACCATAATTTTGTCTGAGGTTGAGTTTCATGAAAATCTGACCAAAATTGCCAGACAAAATGGCCGCCCCTCGTACGCAAATTGTGTAAACATCTGGTATATCAAAGTTGTGGACCCTGTAGAGGCCAAAATTTTGATCCAATTTTGATGAAACTTGAAATGCAAGGTTATTACCTTAAAGATCTCGGTTCCTTTCAATATTCGCGCAAATCAGATCGTAACTTCCTGAATTATGGCCTCTGATTGTACGAAAAATCGATCGCGTTTTTAGCTTGTGGTCCCTCTAGAGGTCACAATTATTATTCGATTTAAAAAAAAACATTCGAATATATCACCGATACCCCAATATGTTTGTTGACTTCAAATTTCATGAAAATCGGGCCAAAACTGCTGGACAAAATGGCCGCCCCTCGTACGCAAATAGTGTTAACATCTAGTAAATCTTGGTTGTGGACCCTCTAGAGGTCACAATTTTGATCCAATTTCGATGAAACTTGAAATACATGTTATAACCCAAAGATATTGGTTCCTGTCGATATTCGCGCATATCGGATCGTAACTTCCTGAATTATGGCCTTTGAGTGAACAAAGAATCACGTTTTTAGCTTGTGGTCCCTGTAGAGATCATAATTTTTATCCGATTTAAAAAAACGTGTGAATATCACCATTACACACTAAGATCTTGGTTCCTTTTGATAATCGCGGATACCCGACCTTAACTTCCTAGATTATGGCCTCTGATCGTTCGAAAAATCGCATTTTTAGCTTGCAGATTCTCTAGAGGTCACAATTTTTTTCCGATTTTAAAAACCGTTTAAATACATCACCATTCCACCAAAATGAGGATTAAGTCGTATTTTGGGAAAATCGAAATAAAACTGCCCGACAAAATGGCCGCTCTTTGTATGCAAATTGTGTAGAAGTGTGTAATACGAAGGTTGTGGACCCTCTAGAGGTCACAATTTTTATCCGATTTTGATGAAACTTAAAACATACCTTTATATCCCAATAAAGCCGCTGGTTAAATTAACCAATAACAGCCAATCGTTTTTAAATCCGTTGAAAATCAAAGCAACCGATGGTCTAGAAAGTTGATTATAATGGTCTTGTCATGTTTATAAATGTCTAATTAATAATTTATATAACATTTAAGGCATAAAGAAAGACCTGTAATAGGCAGATTTAGCTCATGAATAATGTATCTTTAATGAATAAATTAGCATGCTCATATTACTTTACTACATGAGACCCATTCTTGAACTATAAGTCAAGATACAACTTAAGTCAAGATACAATTAATATTCCATGTCAAATAGACCAGTGCTTGTCCTATTTCTGGTTCTCTTGTTCACAAGAATTTGCTCCCAGCAATGACCTCAAATGCCTGGATATCGATTCAATTTTTCAAACTTTTCTCAGGTTGCTCAGTGTTATAGCCACTGCCCCTAAATTTAATAACAAAATCAATAACAATCATCATATATGACATAAACTTTATGTCAACTTTATGCTTTCCGACGAGATAGCGATCGGCGAACAACTACATGTATATAGGCAATAGGATGTATGTTCTACTGGGACGCCCAGTGTTATAGTATAGCCAGTATTTTGTTGACATTCATTGTGGGGGTGTGATTCTGGATGGCGCCCTAGATTTGGAACCGCCCCACCCCACCCCATATTCCCAGCTTCCAGATCAGCTACTGGCCCCTAGAAAACTATTATCTGTGGTGCTCGGCCCCTGACTGCGTCACTTGTATTAGGGACATGTGCATCAGTCGGTCGCATTTTTGCTAAACACCTCTCAAACAAAATCTTTATGTACGCCCCTGCTGGCTATATTGCATCATATACCAGTTTAAACGTTCAGTACAGATTGCTTTACAAGACATAGGACATTACATAACACAGGCCAGCTATAAGTTTATATTATGGTAATGACTAATGTGTGCAATCTGAACAACCATGGATGTCAATAGCGGACATAAAGATATTTTAATCTATTTTGCTTTCAAGTGTCAAGATGGCACGATAACTATCTATTACATCTGCCACTATGTAACACACTGATAACGACCCCTACAGCTGACCCATATGTAAGTCCAGAAATGACCTAGTTTGTGTTGAGTGGACGTTAGGCCCCACCCCCACACTGCCCTCTCTCTCTTTAAGTATGTACTGTTTCTTGTTTCCAGGTACCATCAATGTTGCTATTAATAAACCAACACGACAGAGTACGATTAATCTGGGTGTAAATACTTCAAGTTGGGCTGGATTAACAGCGTGGTGGTGTATAGATTTAGGACAGGAGTTTCATATCAACACCGTTAAAATATCAAAACCAATACAGGATGGTATGTAAACTCAAATATAATTTTAGGTACCCCGAATGTGTCGCCATTCAAGAGACAACCACCGTCATTCTTGTAAAACATATTTGTTTTCATTTTCAGTGAAGCTTGTATATCAATTACAAGCCCAAGACTGTACAGCGCAGTGGACTCTTATGACTGGCCCCGGTTCCATTCACTTGATTTGATATTTGCTGGGTCATTCATTCCATATCAACTGGACCAACGGTGGGGATATGAACCCCTCCCAAAAATTTATAAAAAATATATGTTATATTATATCGTCTTAAACTAACAAATCCGAAATTTTAACTGAATTTATGATCCGTTTCAGCACCCTAATTTCAAATGGCTATATCTCAGCGAATTTTTGACCTAGAGAAGTAAATTTTGGATGTGTTAGCTTAAGGCCATATACTAAAACATATATTTTTTATAAATTTTTGGAGGGGTTCATGTTCCCAACTTTCCGAAAGTTGGTCCACTTCACATGGAATGACCCTGCTGTTTATTTATTGCGATGTGTATATGTAGTTTGTATCTTGTCAGAATGTGTGTCTTGTCGGTTTTGTCTTGTGTGTAGTGTGGCCCCCCTACACTTTCTATAATAGTAATCGCATGTTTTTAGCACAGATTTAAGTGCCAACGATCTCGGAAGTCGCGGTGGCTCAGTGGGCGAGAGGATAAAAGGTTAGATCGCTAACCTTGAGCTCCTGTATTCGATCCCTATGTTGACCTAAAATGTTCATCGGGTTGCCCCTTGTCAGTAGTGCAGGGTCAAGGGCCCACCAAGGGACAACGTATAGTCGTTCGGTTGGGACGAAAAACCGAGGTCCCATGTAAACATCGGCGTGCACGCAAAATTACCCTTGGTAGGTGTAATTCGATATAAGAGCCGGCCGTAGCGCAAAATGTCCCTCATTAGCGTCGGAACAGAACAACAGTAGGTCGTTAAACCTCATTTGTATTCAATTCAGTCAACTATCTCGTCTGTTCAAATAGGTCGAAATATTCTGCTAGACGGATTTGAGATGAGAATAAGTTCTATTGGTCAGTGTGATAAAGCAGGATTTACAGCAGCTACACCTTGTTATAAAGGTAGAGCATCAACAACAGATTCTGTATACACCATAGAGAGGTGTAATCATCCAGCAATACCATCATTATCCGCTAGATATATTTTTATATCTGTTAAACGCACTGATGCAAGATTGGACATCTGTGAGGTTCAAGTATTTGCAGGTAAAGTTTTTTTGTTTGGTTTTTTTGGGGGGGGGAATCAATTTTACTGTTCAAGATCGTCTTATTGCATGGCCTATTATGATGATTTAATGGCGTGAGATAGAGAGGTAGCTTTCGCGTAGAAATCTTTAACAGTGGGAGGAAACTGCAGGACCAGGGGAAAATTGAAGTCAAAATAAAGACCAGTATTAGGCTGATTTAGCTGATGTAGCATGCCATTTTAAGAAAAATAAACTTTATTGCAAAGCTGCTCCCTACAAAGCTATGTTTGATTAATTGGTATGTCTATAATATATATTACATCCCACTTCTAATCGTTGCCACTGGCAACCTTTGATACAACTGTCCTGTTTATTTTCAATACATGCTTAAGAGTATCCGTGTATCAGAAATATACAGAAAGAGTACTGTTCATTTCTGATACACGGATACTTTTATACTGTTTTAGATACCTATCAAGCAATAAGTAGCGGACGTTTAGTCCGACAAAGATCGCAATTGATAACGATGGCTCTATACAATCCACAAGGGTAATGTACATGAAACAACTAGTCAAAATCATAGTAACAAAACAAACCGGGGGGAACTACATGGCAGTTCAAAAACATATACAATGACATTAAATTAACATAACATATTACAAAAATCAATTATTATACATATCAATTGGCATCTATTTCATAATTTGGTTTGATTTATATTAATATGCAAAATATATAAATTAGAATATTGAATAATTTTTTTAATTAATTGTGATGAAAATAAGCAGGATGAAAAAAACCGCCTAGAAAGTCATAAACTTTATTACAAATAAATTTCAACGGAAGAGCCATCCGCCGATACATACTTTCACCAGGAATGACCCACGTTTCGCATTTCCTTTACACTACATTTAATAATATCGCAGTCCTCTACGCCATAGATAAGTTGTTTTGATGATGTGGTCTAAACAAACACGTGATTGTTTTACGCTCAGAGTATCATAGCAAGACGCACGTGTAAATACTACTCAGGTCGTCTCTCCACTGCGAAATCATTCTACCATGAAATGTAACGTGAGAAATGAAATGAAATGGGGTTGAACGTCCTACTGTTCTGCTCCTATGAGAGAAATTTTGCCCGGACAGCGGCACTACGGCCTACTCTTATATCGAATTCCAACTGCCAAGGGATCTTTTACGTGCACGCCAATGTGTACACAGGACCTCGGTTTTTCGTCCCATCCGAACGACTAGACAGCTTTCCTTGTCAGCCCCTCCGTCCTGCATCACTGACAAGGGAGAACCACGCCGGAAAATCTGGATGAACTTTCTCGGCCAATGCAGGGATCGAACACCCGACCTCCAGGCTAGCGAGCTAGCGTCTTACCCACTTAGCCACGTGATCCCCATGTAACGTGAGGCTCAGAAAGGGATAAATGAAAAAGCAGAAAGTATTTGTCACTTTTCGGTTGAAACGACTCGATAATAAATACTATTTTTCACATTTTGCTTCACAATACTCGATAGAAATGTGATGTAAGTAACGTATTAGCACCTTTAGTCGGTGTATCGGTGAATATCAGGACAGTTTTGGTCGGGGGCCGCCTCGGCTGGGCCCCTCGACCAAAACTGTCCTGATATTCACCGATACACCTCGGAAAGTGTGCTAATAACTATTACTAAATGCGTGTGTGTCTAATAGGTATCTCTATCAACTTTAGATAACTGTCCAGATGGTTTCTATGGTAGCAACTGTAACATACGATGTCCAACATCCTGTCTGAACAACACATGTGATAAGGTAGGAGGATCGTGTTCTCACGGTTGTCATGGTGATCACTATGGTAAAAAATGCCAGTCTACTTGTAGTAGCCACTGTAAGGATGGTAAATGTGATGACAGGACGGGGCGATGTTTTGGATGTGAAGACGGTTACTACGGTGATGTGTGTGAAGAATCATGTTCTACCTGTAATGGTACATGTCGACAAGTAGATGGCGTTTGTTTGATTGGCTGTATGGATGGATATTGGGGATCCAATGGGCTGTGCTTACAGACATGTTCTAGTTGTACTTCCGGTGGATGTCGAATAGCAGATGGCGATTGTAATAATGCGCGTGAAGATAGTTGCACCAAGGGTAAGTTATATTCCAGATTCATGCTGAAGTAAAAACATAATGTTGTCTAATTGAGCAGCTGTGCTTAAAGGAGCTAAATCGCTAATATTTGGGATGCAGAAATTGACACAAATGGGTCACAAGTTCACAACGCATATAATAATGTAATATGAATGTATATAAATTGCATTCAATCGTTTCCGTTCTTACTCTAATTTCAAATCAGTTATGTTCGGCGAAATACGCCAGAAGTCTCTGTCGAATGACAATCTCTATCGTCTGGTTATTTTCTAGTCTACATAGTATTTAATTCGCATCTCTCCAGATATTAATATACCGTCACCGTTTGACATGACTTGTGGAATATGTCTAGCCTCGTTCTTCGAGTCCCTTGTTAAAAATAAAATAAAACCAAGTACGAACAATCCAAACCATTAGACAAAATTCGAAGTCCTAAAAAAACGGTATAGGCAAAATAGTCTAATAAAGCAAAATAGTGTAATCAGCATATGGACTGTTCACCGTGTACAAAATACACGACAAATAGTGGTACATGAGTTTTAAATCATGGTGTTTTATGAATGTCAGGAACCATAAACATAATACTAATGTATTAAAATTTTCTTAAAGTATTAAGTTCTAGTCAAATCAAAACTAAACACGCCGCCTTTTGTAGCAACGATGGGTCAAGTAACAGCTCCAAAAAAGCCGTCACATGACCATTTATTATCCATAATTACAACTTAAACTAGTAACCTCACCATGAATGTAAACACAATCATTGCTAACACTATCGAGTTGTAAACGACCCGTTCTGACCACCCCTGCTAACATTTAGTGTGTTCACCAGCAACTAAATGGTTGATTACTAGACGCAGATATTTATAACTGTTTTGTATTTAATAGTCAAACGCAGAAGCAGAGATAACAAATGCTCCAGTTGTTGAAAGTATTGGTGAAGTGACGTGTCCACTACCTGCTAATAGACAAAAACGATCAACAGGAGTTCCCGTTGTAGACACAACAGTACCAAGCTACAGGATAGCTGTGTCCAATGATGGAAAACTCTTCAGTCGACAGTTAACAGTGGTTATCATGAATTCTGAATGCATGAGCTGTTCGATGGATGGCGAGAGCGTGAAATGTAAGATGTTTGTAAGTATTCATGTCTTCATAATCCCCACCCACATTCTGATATCATCAGTCTGTATACAATGCACATATCCAAATGTCTCTAGATTTCTTAATATAACAAACCTTATTGGAATGAAACAAAGGGAATTAAAAAGTGAATGAACATAACACGGGAGTAAGGAAAACCTCAATTTAAACCTTGACGACATCTATTAATTTCGACTTCTATTATAGGACGATTATTGTTATACAGAACAACGATGTTATAAAACTGGTGAAAGGTATATAAATGATGATGACTACCAATGTACCTACGGGCAGTGGCAACTCACCAGTATGTAGAAATTTATGATTATTTATAATGTGCTCTTTTATGTGATATTACTTTTAAAGAGATTGATATTCGGGTCGGAAAATCAAAGTTACATAAATACAACATGAGTTATGTCAACTTATGTCCTGATCAACAGATTTTATGGTATTATTATCTTTACTTTAACTCCAACCCATAAGTACTTAGTCTTGCAGGTCAAGATACATTTCGACCAGGGCCCTGTTTCACGAAAACTTAAATCTTCTTAAACTAAAATTCCATCCTAACTTAAGATAGATCCGTTTCACAAAACGATTTTAAGCATTTTAGATAAAAAAAACACTAAAATAATATTTGAAGTTAAAATTTTTATCTTAACTTAAATTAGTGGCGTTTCACAAAACTATTTTAGGGACAATTTTAACCGTCACCCTCTCCTAATTTAAAATCATTGACTAGAGCTACGTTTTAGATCTAGTGCGACATATAGATATATTTGGAATAATGATAATATTGCCAAAGACCCGGGCCCAACCGTTTATGTTATTTTAAGGCAATTTAAGTAATTAGATGGTGCCCCAATTAAAACCCCAATAACAAAAACAAAAAACACCCAAAACCCCAATAAACAAAACTCTTTGTTACTATTGTATCTAATACCATATGATTCAAGTGTAAATTATACAATTTTCAAATAATTAATAGATAAAAAAACCCCAAAAAAACTAAAAAATGTGAACCCACTTCATATCTAATCTCATGGAAAGAACAGTACTCTTATCTATAAAAATAAATCTTCGTGTGGTCTTACAATGGTTCAAAATTGCCAATTTCTTGGTATTAGAAGGCCTACGGACCTATAATACTAGACATGCCATATGCAAAGTATTTACTCATATGGTTTTGGGGTTATGATGATTTATAAAAAGGTAAATCAATAATCTCAAATGTTTTTATTGAAAACTTGTATAGGCCTATTTGAAATTAAATTTTAATATCATAAATTTATTATTATTTCTTAATAAATGCTTTCGTTAATTACACAGCGTAAATTAGAGAAGTTTTATATAGAAGCCAAGAGTATTTTATATTGGGGAAAAATCATTTTAATTTAGATAGGATAAATAGGCATTATTCAGTAAGGAGTGTGGCACTTTGGCATTTCAAAGTATTATTGAAAGGGTCCATGGGGCAGACATTTCAAATTTAGGCATCGGAACATTGACTATTGGGTGTATTAGTTAAAAGTTGTTAAATACTTTTACAATTCGACAATATTTTACAGTCTAGATTAGTCGTTTGGGTCAGAAATATCACATGTTTGTGTCAATTCTCAATAGTTTCTGTTACCAAAATACCATAAAACTACGAAATTCAAGCGCGAGAGAGAGAGAGAGAAATGGGGTTTAACGTCCACTCGACACAAACTAGGTCATTTCGGGACTAACGTATAGTTTAATTTTATTTACATAATTCGCTTGCGCGTAGGGGTCTTTAGCAGTGGGAGGAAACCGGAGGACCCGGAGAAAACCCACGAGGTTGGAAAAACATGTTCGCGTCTACAGCACCCGGTGTGTCTAGGCGGAAATTCAAGCGATTTAGTTTATCGATACGCATTATTTCCATTGAAGCCTGCGAGTAAATCAAATGCCAAGGTCACGAAAGCGACATGCAAGTTCGAGGTCAATCCACCGATACATTTCAAACGAATAATACGCAATAAACGCATTTATTTCATCTCTCTACGACAGTCTGACCTTGTGCAAACATAACCACGACGTATGAAACTCTCCCCATTGGTATTGTAACCGTTAGTTCAACCTGGCAACAGTTTTCAGTTTCGAAGCGTTCATGCTTACACCCTAAGTGCCCTCGCCGGAGTTGTGCACTGCGCGGACGCAAGCAATTTTAACTAAAATCTATTAAAATTGCATTTTACGTTATAATCGATCTTGGTGAAACGCATAAAATTTAAAATTTCATTTTGATTTTAGTTAAAATCTATTTTAGTGATTTTTGTTTAAGTTTGTGTGAAACAGGGCCCAGGAACGCACATATACATTAGTTGATATTTTGCACCCGAGTTTGCTGACCAACTGTTATGCGTTTCTGGTCAAGAAGCAAATACTTCTCGCTAGTACAATATATGTGCCAATCGGCTGTCATTAATTGAAAGCTATTCGGTAGTATAAACTTGTGTGGGTGTCTTTGGATGACCTATTAACATTTTGAAAATGAAATGGGGGTTTAACGTCCTGCTCCGACTGGACTAATGAGCTGGGCATACACCATGTGGTGTGCTATGAGTGTGGCATACACCATGTGGTGTGCTATGATAAAAATTGTGCTCATACTCTTATATCGAATTCCAAATGCCAAGGGATTCTTTTTTACGTCCGCGCCAATGTGTACACGGGACCTCGTTTTTCGTACACTCGAAGGACTATCCTTGTCAGGATTTACAAATGTCAAAAGGATCTGTTGACATGAAGCTGTGTTTAGTTAGGAAGTGTTGTAAAAGGTGAACGTATCATGCATTGGCCCACGTCCTTCAATCCATTCACATTTGTGTGTGGTCACAATTATCAGATGTTAATGAAATTTAAAATTATGTTTATATCCCAAAGATCTTTGAGGGATTGGCACGTATCAGACCGTAACTTTATGAATAATTGCCCATAATAGTAAAAACAAATCGCATTGGTAGCTTGTGAACCGACCCACCCGTCTTCATTAGCCCAGTAGGAGCAGAACAGTAGGATTTTAAAACACTTATCATTTCATATCATTTTGTGGAACAACCCTCTGGAGATCACAATATTTTTATACGATTTTGATGAAAATCGGGTCGAAACTTGCTTTGGGTTCAGAATGTTTAATGTATAGTATGCAAATGTGTAAAATAATAAAATATTCTAAATTGTAATATAACATTTTAACCCTTATGTACATAACTGCAAACAAACAATATTCTTTTTTAGGTTCTAATGGTGGCAACACAGGCTCCAAAGGTGGCACAACTCCTAAGAGTGGCGCGGATTCTTGTTCCGCTATATAACAACTCAATTTAATAATGATACTTCTTTGTTCAGCAGCCTACATGCTTTAATATTTAATCACTGGTCCAACGACGTTATGAGTGGGAGGATATTGAAATTGCTCTCACCCAAGAAAGAAAATTCCCGATTTTAATACAATTTTTTGTTTTCATGTTATATTTTTTTTTTGTATTTTTTTTACCTTCCAAATAACAAATATTTAATAACGTCCTTGTTTATTTTGCCCTTTATAACTTTCTTATGTATTTTACTTTCCAAATATTTTATAAGTTTCCTGTGTATTTTATCTTTGAAATATACCTTTCCGCGCACAAACTGGGTGATGTGATCATATATTTGGACTAAAACATATTCAAACTAATTAATCTATCAAAATTGTTCTTCAAATCCTTCTCAAAACATTGTATTAGCAAGGAAATACCCCAAGCTATCCAAATCTATTAAAAGAAGTCATGTTTGTGTCACGTGACTTGACTGTCGCGGTACAAAGCAACGGTTGCGAAGACAGCGGAAATTTCATAGTATAAAAGACGATGTTGTCTTTTATGGCTGTCCATTTATCATAAATATCGAAGCCTAATTAAATTCTCGGATTATCCACTTCCCACGCCGTGGCTTTAATCTCAGAAACTGTTGTACGTTTAAGTCTCTCATTTTTTCCTAGTCTGATCACCATTAAGTTTATCAACATATACATCAAGCGGTCCTTAACGCTGAGAGATCAGACATTCTTCGCGTGCAACCTTTGACGTCACTTGAGCAGACAGCCCTTAATCGTCAGACTGTCAATTCGTGACACCCTCTCATTTTTGCCCTGTGCCTGCTCCATGGATGTTTTTCAAGGAATCGAGTATATTTGCCATATATACCCAAATTGGTATACTTTTATTGGAAATAACCACCCGATAAATACTTTTGCGGGGAAAGTATCTTTAAATATTTGATATTTTCTTGTGTATTTGACCTTTCCTGTGTATAAATTACATATATTTTATAGCTTTCCTATGTAGAAATAACAAATATTTTATAGCTTTTCTGTGTTTATTACCTTTTGAATATTTGATATTGTTCTTGTGTATTTTACCTTCGAAATAAATTATATTTTATAACGTTCTTATGTATTTCACCTGCTTAATGTTACATATATATTTTCCTCAATCATTTGTCGTCTGAATACTCAAAGCATTATTGGTAATATGAACTAAATTTGGCACAAACAAATATATTTTTTAAATTATTCTTGTAATTTCGAATCGGTTATGTTTGACGAAAAACTTCAGCAGTTCAAATAGAATGGATTTGTGCCTAATTAGTCCAGTCCACATTGGTATACAGTTGCCTCGTTTATCAAGGCGCAATATTACAAAAGGCCATCGAGAAAACGACTTCGCACACTGATGTTAAATTGTTCATTTTCACCGTAAGATAACAACATCAATAATGGTGTAAATATATCAATTTTAATTCGGGTTTGAAATTCACAATACATTTACGTTGAAGAAGTCCAAGAAGCGATCTAATGCTCATAAGTATTTAGCCGATAGTGTTAAACGTGTTAAAAGAATCCCATAACACCGTGATTTTATTATCCCCCCCCCCGCCCCAATACGTGATGTCACACAAACCGGGATCTTACACAGGGGAGATAGCGCTTGGATGGCGTTAGGGGCTTCTTGAACTTTGCGGAATTGAGTGAAACAGAACGAGAAGATGATAGTACAGGAGAAAAAAAAACAGATGCGCATGTTGTGCTTGGCGATGGTAATGATTAAATTCTGAAATTGCGTGAAGATATGTCTAAGAAATGGATTTAACCCTCACTTTAATTTACGTACATGTTCAGGAGAGAAGACGAACTCTATCTAGTTCCAGCGTTCTTTTTGGAGTTATCTCCCATTTTTCGAAAACCTTTTAAGACAATTAAAGCTACAGCTATCGGGGTAAAATTTACCGTTTAGCTTATTTCATTAATCAGGTCGGAGAAGAAAGTAGGAAGCTTAACCTCATGTTATGGACATATTGGTTGTATACGATAAGCATCTGACATTTTCCGTGTGGCAAACAGAGATGACACTCACATTTTAAAAAGAATATGGGAAGCTTATTCAAACCACACATTTATTTGGCACGACTTTCTTGAACTCATCCCTGATATGGATTTATACGCATATTTTGTGCACAAACCGTAGTTTCCATAAAGATGAAGGAGGTTAATTGAGGAGTGGTTCTACATTTGTTATTCACCTTCTCCACAGAACCTCTTGGGTTATCTCCGGATCCTCCGGTTTCCTCCAATTACTAATGTTCCCTACTCGCAAGCGAATTATTGAAATAAAATTGAACCATATGTTAGTCCCCTAGTTTGTGTCAAGTGGACGTTATACTCTCTCTCTCTCTATCTGTCTGTCTCTCTCTCTCTCTCTCTCTCTCTCTCTCTCTCCACAGAATCAAATTGGTTGAAAGTGAAAAGTTATTTCAATTTCAAATGCTGAATTTGGGTATTTGGAGAAATTGTTTGGAAGAAATTACTTGACGTAAATGTTTGAATATTATGTTGAATATTACTTGTAGTACAGAATCTTAATCTGAATGTGATAGTGGAACGCACTGACATGAAATAAAAAAGGAGTTTAACGTTCTGCTCCGACTGGTCATACGCTATACAGTGTGCAATGAGAGAAATTATACCCAGACAGCAGCACTACGACATCTCTTATATGGATTTCTAACCGTCAAGGGTTCTTCTACGTGCACGCCAATGTGCACACGGGACCACGGTATTTCGTCTCATCTGAACGATTGTCTGTACGTTGTCCCTTGCCAGGCTCTCTGTGCGGCCCTCCATCCTGCACCAATGACAAGAGGGAACCACACCGGAAAATCCGGATAAACTTTCTCAACCAACAGGAAACCTCCAGTTTAGCGAACCAATGTCTTACCAACCAAGCCACCGCAGCTCCCTAGTAGAACGCGGGTGATTCGCGATTCGCACTAGAGCTGAGAAAGAATGCTGCTGCATGGATAATAGTAAGTGCACCAAACAAACTCCAATAAAACAAACCCGCCGTAAGTAATTCATGATACAAGATATGCATGCATTGATACCATATAGGAGAAAATTGGTCGACTTCTTAGCTAGGTTGACCCCTGGGCTCCCGCTCTATTAGGTGGTGCACATTTTACTTATGCCATATTACTTGCTGTTTAAATTGTCTTGAATTTATATGGTTTAGTTTTGTTCAGCATTATTGGGATAGCTGTTCCAGTCTTGATCTTCTGGGTCTAGAATTTCAATGCAAGCTTTGACCCTTTTCCTCGGTTCTCCCGCGGTCACCCGATCCGACGGTTCCACATGGCTCGCGACGCCCTTGAAGCTTTCATGTGACGTTGGGGAGCATTTTCCATACGACCCCGAACCCCCCGAAGCTAATCAATTTCAACCGGTACAAAGGCATAACAGTCATTTTCTCAAAACCCCACCAAACTCTTTAAAGAATTCTACACAATGATTGCTCTCTAGAGAATCAGATCGTACGTTTTATATGATCAGATTTCTAATTATTTAATTGTCCAAACTTTTAATTATGTGATTGTTTACTTATGTCACATGACTTCGAGAAACTCCTTATATGGACATGATGACGCACCGGAACTTTCCCCTTAGCAATATTCCTAGAACTTATATTAAACAGTAACAATTTAATATCGGTTCAAATTACCCGCATACAGAACATGTTTATTAAACTATAGATCAGTAACTTATCAAAACAACCTGCATTTTATTGCTACATTTTCTCATATTTCCGTCGGCATACGTGATATATACCTTGTCGATATATGTGGAACCAATAATCGGCCATAGTGACAATATTGTTACCTTGAAACAATCATAATCATATTCAGAATGCTGCAGCACGGTTGATCAAAGGCACCCGGAAAAAAGATCATATTACTCCAGTATTGCGCGAACTTCACTGGCTTCCAATTAAATCTCGAATTAACTCTAAAATATTATTATTAACATTTAAATCAATAAATGGCACCGCTCCAGATTACATATCCGATCTACTTGTCAAACCACAACACTCTCGAACTCTGCGATCAAATGACAAAAACCTCCTTGTCGTACCAAAAGTGAATCTCCAAATGTGTAGACGTTCTTTTAGATATGCTTCATCTGTATTATGGAACTCGATCGATCCTAATCATCCTCTTAAAAACTCCAAATCAACTGACATTTTCAAACGTAGACTTAAAACATATCTGTTCCAGTTGCACTTTGGTACCGAAGATCCATCATAAACTTTGCAAGCGCACCAGGGACCTTGTTACTATGGTATTTGTGCGCGATATAAATTTCCGTATTATTATTATTATTAAATAGCATAAAAAAACGATCTATATTGTTTAAATGTTTATATGTAGAAATGATCGAGAAAGTGCAGTGCAGCAAATTTTATTCTTAAAATAATAATTACATTTTTCTCTTAGAAACGTTTGCTCTAAGTCTTTTTTTAACCTTACATAAAATGGGTCAAATTCCGTCAAGAACAATTTCGGGAATATGGGCCCCAGGCGAACAATGCTTGGTCGCCGTGCTCCACCCCCACATATGTGGTATCACATTAACCGGATGTCCTGCTAGTTGATTCACATAACAAGACTGATTTGGGGTGAAAATGTCATATGTCATAGGTACATATTGTTTTTGGCTTCTTTTGCAATTTGTTTTGGGTAAAACTACATCCATTCCCGCCTAAATGAGGTTACCCTGTTCATTACATGAGCGAAAAAAAGAGAATCCAGCGATAAAACAAGGACAATTTTTTATTATAAACTCTATCTATACAGTCTGGTTATAAACTTGTAATTATTAGGAGCATTCAAATTGAAAGTAATTAAATAAGTAAAATACAAGATGGCAAATTGGTATTAATATAAGGACGATAGCTGTGTAATAATCAGTCTCTATACTACACGACACTGGAACTAAAAGTAGAAACAACTGGTAAGGCTATAATAAGTTTGTATCATTCAATATAAGAAAAACAAAGAAATATAAAATATCAAATATAAATGGAAATGAAATAATAATTGAAATAATAATTATACGTTTAAAGTATGAAATATAGAAACTATTTACGTTTGAACTATAAAATAAAGAACTATTTACGGAAGGTAGAAACTGCAACTTGTAATGAAATACTAAATATAAAAAATCATATACAGTATAATATAGACCTAATAGTAGGAACAACTGGTAAGGCTCTAATAAGTTTATGGCTAGTAGATATGTTTCTTGGATTTATATATCCCACGTTGACAAGTAAAAACTATAAAAAACTCATAAACAACCTTCCCGCGTTGCTACCTACTACATCTATACACTATACTTGAAAGTGGTTAATCCTGTTAAACATACATAATGCAAGAGCTAAATCTGCCTATTGCAGGTCTTTCTTTAGGCCTGAAAGGTTATCTAAATCATTAATTAGACATTAATTAAATTATCCAGACCATAATCAACCCTCGATGCCATTGCTAGGCTGCGATATTTATTGGATTAGGATCCGATTTGCTGCTCAACTTTCATTCATGATTTAATCTTGAAATGGATAATCGAGACTATGTTTTTTTGTCGTACCGACATTAGTAATGTTGATCGAGACTAGGCCGAAAAAAGTCAATCGCTAAATTCTCAGTTCAGAGTGGATCAATTCGACTGACATTTTCAGCAAATTCCCTTTACATTATCTAGTTTTTAACTATTATAGTGAGAACTGCCAGCTCTTTGTCTAATCTCCCATAATGTATCTTTAATTAAACAATTCTAATTAACTGCATTGCTTATAGGATTAAGACCACATCGGTATAGATGAGTCGAACATCTGACTACATGTACGTATAAACATTAATATATTGTTTTGGATGAAGAAGTTGTATTTACAAAAGGTGAAAAATATAACAGTATAATAGAACACGGACATCACCAGGTAAAGTTATGTTGCCATGGCTACCCACAACTAATATATAATATAATAACATTTGGGTAAAACATTTAGTTTAAGCTCCTAATATTTAAATTGCCAGTACAACACTCAAGCTACCTCCAAACCACTTTCTTTTTTAAAAAAGTGAACAGGCATTCCGATAACTTATATTCGAGTACCAATGGTGTTGGTGTTCCCCATATTATCATAACAAGTTTGTTCTGTTGTCTTTAATGTATCATAAACAACTACAGGTCCACCTCCAATAGTTGAATCATATGTATGTTCATTAACTTGGTCAGTGGGAGTCCTGGATCGTTTGCAACTACAAATAAATCAGATATACAATAAAACGGTTATCTAACAAATACTGGATTTATCACGAAGCGAGAGAGAGAGAGAGAGAGAGCGAGGGGGGGGGTAGGTGCAATATTTGTAGCGGGGATAGTTGTCTTATCCACCGCTACAATTGATACGAGCCTTTGCGCAAGTTTCAATTGCAAAATTTGCAACACATATGATCTCAGTTTGGATGGAAATAAAGAATTATGTCACAAATACAGAAGTGCGGTACACTGATGTTCTAATTCTGGTTCCGCGGACATTTTCAAAACGACAGAAATATCGCGTAGCCGTTGAATGGTTTTAAATTTATGAATTGATGCGGTAAGGTTTCGCCTTTTTTTTCAATGGGAATTGGTGTATTAGAACGACCCACTACTGTGGCTGGAGCAAAAGGAACACTTTATAGGGGAGGAATTATTATAGCCCTCAAGAGCGTTATCAACAAATACTACAGAAACATATTTTAGTTATTTATTGTAGAACTTGATTCAGTAGAATGTCATTTACCTGTTCCTGTATATCACTAATATAATGATAATTAAAATACAGATCAGTAAAGCTGTACCCACAACTCCACCAACAATGGCTGGCACTTTATCATCTGGTGTTGATTCTGTCCAAATATAATATCAATAATCATTCGTATCGTCAATTAAAAACTCAGTAAAGTACATGTTTATGGGTCACTGCCTGTCAATTATCTCACTCATTCCATTATGTCATCATTATTAATTCCGCAGTACTTGTCTTATACTAACTCTCACAAAGCATGCAGGATTAACAGGTAGATTCCGTACCTTTTCTGACCCCCCCACCCCCCTTAACAAGAATTATGTGCCAGCAATGAATTTAAATGCCAGGAAACGCAGGATGACTTTGGCATCTCATCCGCCCCTTACAAAAATCATGGCTACGACACTGTTGATTAACATGACACGTACAGCAAGTACAATTATAATATTTAACAATGGTGTTTTACCAATGCTTCATCACTCTACCCCAAAGCATGGATCAGCTGAATTGCAGCTCTCGGCTTAGCCTTAGCTGAAAATGTTAATCATCCAACTCAATCAAGATCTACACTTAATTCTACCAGCTCGCCCAATTTAAATCAATCAAAGGTATCGTTACCCACATGAAAATGTTCATCTCACACAGTATAAAACAGACACGGACAGACAATTTCTCGGCTGCACACCAGCTATCTATCGAAGAAAAAGTATATCAGAAGGGACACCTTGGATGTTGACCATATTATTAAAAATGAAAAGTTATTTGAAAAATGGGGAAAGCTTTAAAAATGAGGGTCGCGAGAGGCTGATTAACAAGAAAGCGTTGTTCCTGTCGTAACTCTAAGGTTGAAAATTATAGCCCCTATAGCACTAACAATTTTTCAAAAAAGCGGGGTTAACTACGGATATCGTTAGGGTTACTTCTCGAACGGGGGTTCCATGTTAAATAAAGTTTTAATTAACTGTAAAAACTGTAAAATGGACAATACACTCTGCGAATGTGGAAATACGCCCACTTGTCAGCTATATCCCTAGAGACAGCAGCTTATCCGAAAGGAAAACCTTGATGTTGGTGAGTCGGGAAATCTTGTGAATGGAACATCGTAGGAGGATAGCGTTGTTCCCCTCCTAACCCCACTGTATGAGAACAAATTGGAAAAAGACTGTTAAAATTTGCAGCCTCTCTAGCGTTAACAAGCTTTCAGAAAAATTTGGGTAACTGCGGAACCGAGGGTCGTGGAACACTGGACATTGATAGGGTTCCTCCTCTTTTGACCGTAAAGCTTCACGAAACGTTTAGGAAAATCCCGGAACAGATAGTCATCGAATGCAGACGATTGCTCTCACTACCCTTATGCTTCACATCGCACATTTGATATAAATTCTTTAATTCTTTAAAACCAACAGCCTCTATCTTGTTAACGAGGCTTTCGGTAAAGGGGATGCAACGTTGCGGAGTATAGAAAATCGGTAAGGTTTGCACTCTTGTGACGCAATTAGTTTACACCAGTTAATGCCCAGGCCCCATTGGGTAAAAATCATCGGCGATGTGAAAATAAACAAATTCCTCCCGATGGCTCCCGATATTTTTGTCCACCAAAACGGAAATTGTTGCCGATTAGGTCTTACTATGAAAATATTGAAGACACAATGACCAATTTAAATTGCGTGTGCGAAGTCTTTTTCTCGAGCGCCTTTTCTAATCGTTGTAAAATCGGTCAGTGTGGAAAGGAAATGCCAAACCGTATACCGATGTAAACTCTCTTGACCAGGACAGAAGTTGACATAACTTAGGTTGTATTTATGTAACTTCGATTTTTCCGACCCGAAATTAAATCTCTTTAACAGCAGTATTGTATTTTAGAACGTACTACAAATAATCGTAAATTTCTACATACTTATGGTTTGCCACTGTCCGTTGGTACATTGATAGTCTTCATTATATATATACTTTTCACCAGTTTTATAACAGCGTTCATCCGTATAACAATAATCGTCCTATAATAGAAGCCGAAATTAATAGATATCGTCAAGGTTTAAATTGGGGTTTTCCCTAATCTTAATGGCTTATTTATGTCCGGTTTAAACTTATTGAGAACAATTTAACACCAATGGGTGCCTGTATTGCTTAACACATTGAATGTCCGCGTCCAAACTAGCTACACTTTCAGACAAATCCTGGGTCTTCACAACCAGAGAACAGACTACCACCGCCTTTTATTGACCTTGACCTTCTTGATTGATCTTGTATTTCATTAATTCCCAGCCTAGTCCGCACCCTTTTTCGTATGCAAACTAGATTCTGGCAGTTTCTATATAAGGTATGTCTATTATGCAAAAATCCCAAATATATTTGTATATAATGCAAAATACAGAGTGGAGGAGTGTAATGGCAAAATAACTAACACATGACTCTCTTGTATTGTATTTTGTATTATTGAAAAGTGTATTCTGTACTTTTAACACTGCGACATTGGTATTGTAGAGCAATGGAAATTGAAAATGGTAAATATCAACTAAGTACTTTGAACTGCTGACATATGCATTTTGGACTGTAAACATTGAAATAATAATGGCAACGTGAGTGGGGAGAATAAAAACATATACTTACAAACATCCTACATATTACAGTCTCGCTATCAATTGTACAGTTCATACAATAAAGACATATACTTACAAACATTCTACATGTCACGGTCTCGCCATCAATTGTACAGTCCATGCAATTGGAATCCATGACAACCACTGTTAACTGTCGACTGAAGAGTTGTCCATCATTGGACACAGCTACCCTGTAGCTTGGTACTGTTGTGTCTACAACGGGAACGGTTGTTGATCGTTTTTGTCTATTAACAGGTAGTGGACACGTCACTTCACCAATACTTTCAACAACTGGAGCATTTGTTATCTCTGCTTCTGCGTTTGACTATTAAATACAAATCAGTTATAAATATATGCGTCTAGAAATCAACCATTTAGTTGCTTGTGAACACATTAAATGCCTGGGGTGGTCACAACCGGATGTTTACAACTCGATATTGCTTGATTTATCTTCGATAGGCCAGCCAGTTTCTACATGGCGTACGCCGTTCAGGTTACCGTATTAAAGCAAATCAAGTGACCTGGCTGATAAACAATATGACGGCGGATAATATTACATGTATATATTAAAGATGGGTTCCCGCGTACAAACTGGGTGATTTAATGGTATATATGGACTAAAAACATATTCAAACTAATTAATTTGTCATAATTATGCTTCAAATCCTTCTCAAACATTGTAATTGCGAAGGAATGCCCTGATATTAAAATTCGATCACGTCTTGGGAGTCAGAGGAGAATTCATTGCATACATAAGACGATGTTGTCTTTAATCGCTTACTATTTATTAAAAATATCAATTCCTAATTAAATTCTCGGATTATCCACTTCCCGCGTCTTTTTCCGTCATTTTTATCTCAGAGAATGTTGTACGTCTAACTCTTCATAAAGTTTATCAACTTGTACATCAAGCGCTTAATGTTCGCGTGTTACCTTTGACATCACGCGTGCAGAAATTCTTAATTGTCGGGCTGTTGATTAGGGGAACCCTTACATTTTTGTCCTGTGTACGCTCCATGAGTGTTTTTCGGGGAATCCAGTATTTTTCTAGTAAGATTGGATATCTCTACTTTCCATATATACCAAAATTGCCATACTGTTATTGGAAATAACCACCCGATAAATACTTTTCTGGGAACCCATCTTTAAACCGTTTACATGATATGTTTTAATCAAAAATAGAATTCTTGAAAGTATGACTTTCAGTAAGTGACCGCAATATAAGCAGAAAATTATTATTAGCAATATTATCCAGAAAAAATAAATGATACATGAACATCTGGTTTTACGATGGTCCAATTCAACTTCAAAACATTTGCTTTAATTTTAACGCTTTAAAATTAGTGTTTTATGGCATTCCTAAATAACATGAATTTTATCTGGCTGACATGTTCATCATCTTGCGCCGGTGATCGCCGCTGCCGCCAAAGCGGCGCATTCGGCCTACGCCGCAGCTGAAGTTTTTTCGAATTCCGGGATCAAGTAACGGAAACTGCCGAACTGTGCTTAGCCGGTATGCACCTGTATGGACAAATCAAGCAAAGTAGCAATGATTGTGTTTACATTCATGGTGTTGGGCGGTTAATTCGATCGAATTCCGGGATCAAGTCACCTCGCCGCGGAAACTGCCGAACTGTGCTTAAATCGACGTGAAGAGTTTAAGTTTTAATTAGAGATAATAAATGGCCATGTGACGGCTTTTGGGCGCTGTTAAACATACATTATGCAAGGGCTAATTTTGCATGTCTGTACTCCATCGATGAAATGTGTGGAGTGTCCTGTTAAGAAATCCTAACATATTATCTAAATTGTAGATATTTTATACTATATATATTTAAATTTAATGTGTTCATATTATGATTGTCAGTGGCAAAACTCTTATGCCTGTGGGCTGATAAGTGTAAAGATATTCCAAATTTGTATACAAGCACTAAACTTTGCATGGGTGTAATTTATAAGAAAACCCCGTTAGCCACTTGCATTTTTAAAATGGCTGCCATATTTGGCCATTATTTCTCCGAATTTTACCCACTGGACCGATTGAGATGATTTTTATCCGCCCACATTTTATACGCGCATTTCCGGACGTTTGAACATCTAGATGTCCGTTCACAATAGTGCACAATCACCATTGTTATCTGATTTTATGAAATATATGTTTATGTCCCACACCACGGATAGGTTCGGTGTTGGTGCGAATCGGAACACAACTGCTTGAGTTATGACCCCCTAACTTTTACGTATAATTGTGAGATGTGTACGATGGACCCCCCCCCCCCCCGATTCTTGTTCCGATTCAGATCAATCTGATTAAAACACAGATCCTATTTCGTTTCGTTTTATATAGTTCAAAATTTCGTTTTACTTGTCTGTACTACACTAGGATTTGGATGGATTGTTTTATAACCCGTGTTCAGGTTGATGTGAGGGAAACAGTTCGCTACTACACATTTCAATAGCAATAGATCGGTGGAATGAACAATCCATGAACATTTGCACAAGATGTCTACCATGTTGACTAAAGAACATGGTTAGTTAACAGATTCTTCGAGAGTATCGGAGAGATCCGGGTGCTTGTGGATATTTTGAAAATAAGGGAAAGCGGAAACTATTGGGACAACCCTCGTGCATTTGCTTTTACATTAATCTGTATTATCACTTTTGTAAATTGTAAATCAATTGTTATTGTCGGTGACACCACTTCAGTGGAAGTGGACACCAAATATACTTACTTCACACAAGAATCCAATTAGGGAAATTGGGTTGGATGAGACTGTTAATAATTTATGTACATGTAAGGTGACTTCACTTCGAAGATTTCGTGTAACATTGGGTGAGTTTTTAGCTTTTATTACTTAGATCGTTACCACAATTCTGTAGTTAGTTCTTGTTCAGACAATTGCAGTTCGTGCTTACATGATCAAAAATACCCTATAAAACAATGTGATATCTAGGGTTCTATCGGTTGCTATGTATACCGTTCTGACGTGTTGTTTGTCAATTTTGGCATATAATTCCTGTTATTAAGCCTAGTTGAGCTACTATTTTCGACTCCCACATTATATTTTCAAGCGAGTTCTTGTGACTAATGACTTATTATTAGGCAGATTATGCTACTCAGCATGATTTGAAACAATTCCACCTGATTATGTAAAAATTGGTGAGTGAAGCTAGCCTACCTAAAAAGAAAACAAATTTGTCCATATTGTCACTGCCTAGTTACGAATATATTGATACCTGAAAACTGTTTTAATTAATTCATGACTGATCTTTTACTGTTTTATGTATTTCAGGAATGTGATTTCATAAAAGATGATGTTTGAAAATGGTGTGATAATCATGTGTGCAGAATTTCTTGAAGATATTTGCCAACATAGATTTGAGTTGAGGAAGATCATTAAACACAAAAATTAAAAACAAGTACACCGTCATATTTATACGCAGTAATTCGCCTTGATAATATAGAGGGTGTTTATTGTCCATTCGACCACACTTATCGACCAATCAGAATCTAGGAAATTTCTAATTTCTGCTTCAATAAAGAACATACGTCCACTTAGAACTTTGTCGTCATGTAGCTGGTTTGTAAGTTCTAATATAAAAACAAAATTCGAGAATATTGGACTTGAAGTTATAATTAAAAATAATTCGAGAATTCTAGTGCATATACTATTTGAAAATCAACCCACCAAAGAGATCTTGTTTCAAGGGATATTATTTTATTCAATTGTGAAATGTCCAGATTAGACAAATAATATTGAATATGGGGATACAATCGTGAATCCAGTACAAAATTGAGAAAAACAACGTTGCCGTCAGAAGTTGTTAAAATATCTATAGGTTTCTTTTTTTACTGATGACAATTGTAATTTCTAGACATTTAACATGAATTGTTGACGACAGACGCACTGACTTCCCGATCAATGACTTATGGCTAACTGAACAAATCCAGCAAAACACGTAAGTGTTTCCAAAGTTTCAGTAAAAGGGCATTAAGCCCGTGACTAGGAACATCCCTATTACTAGCCAAGAACAATCTCAAGGATTGTGACCTGTTGACCTTCTTCACGAACTGTGGACAGACGGACAATACACTTCCGAATTATATAAATGCGATAGATCTCCGAACCTCGAGCGGCATCAGTCGGCATTTGAATTTGTCAGATTCTACAAAAGGTCCACCAAATATGGCAATCTCTTCACAACTGCCATCTTTGCGATCACAATACCCGTTCGCTTCTAGACTATCGGCCAGAGGTGGTTGAGTTAGATCAACAGAACAATCTGGTCCTGAATAACCATCATTACAATCACAGGTACCTGTTGATTACACAAATTCATGCAGACTAATTTTTAAAAAAAACATGCTTAAGAGATGATCTGCCAGAATAAGAGTTACATATGGAATTTAAGAGCATACACAATCCAAAGTGTATTATGTTAAAAAATTATTCAAATTGATTGCAGACATTTGACAGAAAGGGAGATAACTATTTTTTTTGTTCTGGTAATGGATTTCCCCAATCCCGTATGTTCTCTTATCCATTATTTGTTCTGCATCTTGGTTTAAGTCCAAATTTAACTAATACTCTTTTTTGCCGAGGATGAATGCATCGCATGATTGGCACTCTCGGGATTCCTGTTAGCAGAGAGAGGACCTTGTAGCGGAATTGTGTTTCAAAGTAAGATAGAAAATTGTATCTGCAGGCATATAATCCATTAGTGTTAGCATTAATGAATTTTCAGACCTGTCTGTGTAAATTGAAGATTTCATATCACTAGTAAGCACTGGATATCTATTGAATGTTTCAAATCCCATAGCCTTTGGTGAAAATACAGGGTTTGGTTGAGATTCAATTCTACAATGTTCAAATCATACCTAGCTACAGCAGCCCTGTAAGAGAATTCAATCAATTGAATACACGTTCTTACCATTAACACAGACACCTCTATCTGAACACTCTGCTGGACAAGCTACAGCTTTCACCATTTTTAACACTGAAGGTTTATCTGGACTAGTTTCCTGCCGAAGAGTAACATTCATACTAGCCTCACGTAAACACTGACTTCTTATAGAATTGATAGCAGTCAACGAAAAATTGGTTGTTCCACTTAGCTTAAATTCAAAATAAAAACAAGAATATGTATACGAAAAGCAGCCTAGTTTGAAAAGATAAAATAGAAAAAAAAATATTGAACGGAATAAACGACAGACCGTGAAATCATGTTAGCTTGTTTCGTCCATTCCAAATGTAATGCTTTGTTTTGGTAATGTGGTATTACCAACGAATTGTTGTGCCAAATATGAGCCATACTTAGTTCAAATTTACGGAAGTTGGCTATCTAACATTCAACTCTTATGAGTAAATTTAACTGATGTATTGATATCATAATATAATTAAACAAAATAATAAAAATAATAATTTTGAGTTAAATACGATGCACACATAGTTACAACCACTTCGTGGAATTTGAAGGAACTGTAGTCTGTAAGGGGGAAATTTAATCTGTTTTGATTATGTAGATGTGAAGATAATGACCAACAGGTGAAGTTTCGGAATTATATCAAGATATTTCTATCTACGGTCAGGTATACACAAAAATGTACAATTAAAGCTAAATAATGAATAGATTAATCGCTTTCAATACACAGTTACTCATTTGCAATGCTGTGATAAGTCATAAACTAATTAAAGTAATAAATGAAATACATCTAAAGGTGTATAAACTATGGAATATATAAGTATTCTACATTTGATTTTACTTGTAATGCTGTGTTAAGTCATAGACTAATTAAAGTAATAAATAAAATACATCCAAAGGTGTATAAACTATGGAATATGGCAAAATTGAAAGAAAAACGAATCTTAAATTATTCTACATTTGACATTGTTGGGGTTATTTAAACTATTATAAAGCTGCACAACCAAAGGACATTATACTATGTATTTAATAGGAGATTTGATCACGTGACTTTTATTTACCTGAATATCAAGAACACAATTTGCCATGGGAAATGAAACATCGACGCCAGGTACCTCTTTACACAGATTAACCATATTTGAAGATTTAAAGAGATTCTCGCAATATTCCGTAGCAGACTCATTGGTCCACCCATTCTTCCAGCTTACATCCTGTAATAGTTCGAAATCGTTATAAAACATCGATGACATTGTAATGCCTTGTCCTGCAAGCCGCAGGGTCGACTGTGGCACTATCCTATGTCGCGGTACCAAAACGAGAAAACTGTAACAATACGGTGTCGTTAAATAGATGAATTATGAATTACTCCCACGTTGTGTATACGGCCCGTGACACTTTATTTGACTTTGCGTTGTGCATATGATGAATTAACTCTGGAACACTTTTTACGTTAACTATGTATATATATATATATACATAGTTAACGTAAAATATATATATCAAAATACACAACATCTATAATAATACACTAGGAGTTATTATAATATATATAGTCTGAGTTTAACAAGCTTAGCACTCGTACCTAACGGCTGAAACACTACATATTGTCTCTATCCCAGCCTCGAACCAGAGGCTGTGGGTTGGGTATGATGTCCCCCTGACCAACAAATGATGTCTTCTGTACGGTCTCATCATGATGTCTGAAGGGAAAGTTAACCCCGCTCTTATTATATAAATATGATACGTGCATAGTCATGTATTGGGCCCTGGGAAATTCACCAGGTACCTCCTTTATCGGATTGGTCAGCTGCACAGACGCTACCCTGGATTTCAACACAGAGTACTTATATGGGCACCTAGGAGGGCGGCTAACCACGTTTCTAACGCTTGGGATTACCATATTTGGATTATCAGACTATGATGTCATTGTCCGATTTTCAACTACCAGACTTATCCTTGTTAGCCTAGTTCTTGTTGCCTTTAGTACTAGCTAAGGACTTCAATACATTAACCAGAACATCTATTACAGAACTTGGGTAACCTCTACAGTATATATTGGCCCTATAGTATTATACTATAATATAATACAACTTCTGATTTGACGAGTTCATATGGCTTACAAATTTGTGTTGTACTCATGTATTGTAATAGGCGTAGGGCCAGTGGTCATCGGTGTGTAACGATAGGGGTTATAATCTATTTTTCACTCGTATTCTAAAATAAAGACAGCATAAGGTACTTGTCATAAGGTGTTTTAGAGAGAGTAAACATCCTGCCTGGTACACGACATCCATGCTACTAAAGTTGAATTTTCTTCTACACGTTGATAAACATTAATAGAAATGTTATCAATTTGTAAAAACAAATGACATCACGTTAGCCACACGGAAGTTTCAAGGTGTTGTTTTTAAGCGAGTTATTGCTTATCTTCTGACAAAATAATGTATGTATACATTACCCTTTTAATTCGTCTATGATTCTCGGGCCGATTTCTTATTGTGGGTATCGATCTCTTCTTGCGGGATGGTGAAATGCAGCGTTTCTTGTGAACTGTTCTAAATTCTACATCCTCATTACAAATAACTGGTTCGTTGTATGGTGAACAATCGATTTCATTTTTGACGACACCATCACGCACCTCATTGCATTTACATGTGGTATAATTACGAGACCAAGCATTGAGCCTACCCAAGTTGTCTGGATCAAACATATCTTCAACAACAGGAGTCCTAGAAATATTAATGTGAAGTGGACAAGGTTACAAGTATTTATGTCTTACAAACGTTTAAACTACCTCATAAATAAACAATATCCAGTCGATATTGGAATTAGTCGCATTATATTTTCTGCGGGAATCTTTAAAAATGCCACTTCCACTTCAGTAACACATGCAATGTCAAAATGTTTTTCATGGCCAAAGCTAAATTCAAATTCTAGTGACCTAAACTGGTGGTTATTCTAAATATATAGGGGCCCAATGGAACTGGATATACAATTCATAAAAGGACGGTCCGGTCCCTCAAATATTCGACATTAAACTTAAACTAACGTCTCAATATTATGATGTAATAAAACAAATTTATGCACGGTAATTTGTCACAAGGTAGGTCTACGTAAGATGACACCCTGGTATCCAAATCTCGTTTCATAGCTAAACATATTCAAAATATATTGAACCTACTGTCATTTTTAGAGACTGACAAGTAGTTAATAATGTGTAATGTCTTATAGCCGTCCAAACAACACCCTATTAAAAATGGGTGCAATTAAAAGTGGTCTAAGATTTACACCAGAGCTAACAAATCTAGAATATAACGCTTTTACTATTCTGTTAAAATTATATGTAAATTTACATTTATAAGGATGGTAAAATTACATTATCAGATCAGATATGTCAGATTACATGATTTGTTAACTTACATTTAAAACGACAAATGTAATGTAGAAACTCAATCATATGTCAGATTACAAAATATGAACTGCATATTAACAGAATAGATATCCCCTCACGGTATAACGACTTTTCAACTTCAACGGAATTATCTGTCAGCTGAAAATTTAATGTCTGTCTGTTATCGCTCTCTACTTCACTAGAACGATAACGCGTGTTTTTCCTTTTTTGCGTTACTTCTAGAATCTTCAAATCCTTGTTAGGGATTAGCCGTAACAAAAATCTCTTCTGTTAAAATTATATTTGGACTGTGTTTAACTAGTTCTATAACATAATATTGGCTGACACCAATGTTGTCCTTTAAAGAGACACTGCTGAATGATGTAAGTTTGAACAGTCAGTATAAAAAACATTTTTGGGCCACAACATATTCACTGATGTTACAAATGGGCAGTCATTTAAGACTAATAAATATTTCAATGACATCCCAAGATGTATTTGAGCTGGTAAACCCTCTTGGTTCAGTTCGAAGGATGTTCAAACTCCTTGGATTAAATTACACCCTACTTGTCTAGACATTTATTTATCCTCATCATAAGTCTAAAATTAGCCCAATACCATTAGCTATGCTTTGTAAATGTGGAATTATCAACTAGGGTTATCTTGAATGATGACACTCTGATTAACGCTAATCTTGTTTGTGCTGTGGGTGATAACCTTCGGGTTCATTTCATTGAGGGGTCTAATACGAATGTTTCAGATGCAGAATACATGTGTAAATAGTGCCTGTCGACCCACCAAGCATATATAGAGAACCCTATATCACTTCGAACTAAAGAAAATGTTAATGATGCTCTACATAACATTAAAGAAAATGATGTTATTCATCATCTTACAATAAAAGGCTTTCCCTTTTTAAGGCTGCAATCAAATATGATTTTTAGCTTTATTTGTTAAAAATCTTGTTAAAGATACAAAAAACCAGATTTGACTCGGAAACTGTAAACCCTTTATGCTTATAGATTTAAGATAAAACCCCGATAGTATTTAAAACAAAGACTGAAACGGTAGGTGGACATGCGGTTTCTTTAGCTCATACTTTTTGATCACGTTGATACAACTTGACAGGCAATCTTTATGTTGAGGCTAATAACAGAGTACTTATGCTCTCAGTCCATCTGAATTGATCAAGTTGCTATACTGCATCATTTATTTGATATCAGACACTACACTGTTTTCTGGTTAAATAATTTAGACCAACGATTATTACCAATATCTACATCATTATGTCTATCTTATTCCCAAACTTGGTCCATCTACTATGAAGTTTAAACCTAATGACATATATTTTAAGAGATGCATTCAAGATTCTAAAATTTAAAAAAAAAAATTCTAAAACTGTATCCGAATATCACCAGTTCCTTTAGTCATATTACTAAGGCTATCCTGTCCAACAAGATGTCATTGTAGAAAACTCTGTCCAGTTTCCAGTGCTATGGCTTGGAGGATACAGTAAAAACAAACATACGATTCAAACAATTGGTAATTAGATGAGCTAGCAATATTAAATGTTGTTAACATTAGCATTAGGGGAAACACTATCAGGAAAGGATGTTTTTTATTGATAGACTGCCAGAATGACGATTTGGGGTTTGGTCAAGTTGATTCCTGCGCGAGTAATTATAAACATACACCCTACTTTCTTTTTGAATATTATGTTCACTCGATTAAACAGTTTGTATGAGTTTGGAGTTCATATAACATGTGTGGCTTATGGGGGATGTGCTGGATCGATTTGTTTGCAGTTAAATTGTTATAAAGTTTTCGATCCCGTGTTCGATCCCTGCGTTGGCCGAGAAAGTTCATAAGGATTTTCCGGCGTACTTCACCTTTATCAGAGGTGCAGGATGGAGGGGACGAAAACCCGAGGTCCAGTGTACACATTGGCGTGCAGGAAAAAGAACCATGTGATATAAGAGTAGCGGTGCTGTCGAGGCAAAATTGCTGTCATAGCAAAATGTATGGCGCATGCCTGCCTTCATTAGCCCTGTCAGAGCAGCCCAGTCAGAGCAGAACAGTAGGACTTTAAAAAACCCGTTTCATTTTATTATTTGTTTCATTTTTCTAAAAATGCCATTGTACTTTAACATTATCCTTTTAATACTTTATTGAGAAAAAATGGCACTTTATAAAAAGAAAGAAACAATGGCACTTTATAAAAAGAAAGAAAAAAGGGCTAGGACAAACCATTGAGTCCGAGTGAGTTTTGAGTGAGTGTCATCAGTTTGTGAAGTGATATAAAAGTCAGAAAATTCATATTATTATTTTGTAGTGTTTGCGTTACCAAATGTAGGCCTACGTTTAGATATTTGATAAACGTTACCATCCATTCGTAACTAGAAGAGGGATTTAGTGTCGTATGGTCGATGATAGTGGCCATGTAAATTATCGCGCTTTGCATAACACGACATCATGACAGTATTGACGCAATTATACGAAAAAATAGACTTGTGATATTATCGCGTGATTGTCGTCGTAACGACTTGATGTCGACTTATCGCCTTAGCCTCTTTCTACAATTTTGCAAGCACTCCGGAATCATTACATCATGTAAGAAGCAGAGTAGATAAATACAATAGACTGGTACACAAGGGATAATAGGAAAAGTTTGATTAATAATTTGTTCAAAAGTAAGTCATATTTGGTATTATTCAAATAATGTAACATTACGATAGCAGGACCAAAGTTAATTACTATGTTTATTCCTCGAATAAGAAGAAGTAGTGTCGGAAAACGATTCACAGCTCTTATTCACAGGGTAATAAAGAGAAATATACTATTCAAAAAAAGTAGGGGATATTTGATTTTGGGGGCATAATACTAAAATATGCAAATGACTACGAAAAAAGTCACTATAGAACCTAACAGAAGAAACATTTCCAGTTACATGTGACGCCCAAACGCACCAATAGCTACCGCATGGAATGCATGTGATGCTTGGGATCATCATGGGGGTCCAACCCAAGATTTGCACGACTCTGACTTTGAATGTTACAGTCATTGTGGCATTGAATTCCAGGGTGGAAACATCAGTTTAATTGTTTTAGTGACCAGAAAACAAATTTTGATATGCGTCGGCTTACCCAAAATGAAAGGTTACGTGCCCTTGGCATGCTACAGATCGGCACAACACAGGCGGTTGTGGCGCGGACGATGAATGTTTCTCAGTCTGTCATAAGCAGGCTATGGTCCAGATACCGTGATACACAATCTGTACAGGAAAGACCACGCTCAGGTCGACCAAGGGTGACAACTCAAGCCCAGGATCGATTTATCCGTACCTTGGCCTTGAGAAATCGTGTCATCACAGCAAATCAGATCAGCGCTCGTCTTCAAACAGACACTGGTGTGAGAGTGAGTGGCCAGACGATTCGGAATCGACTGCATAGGGGTCACCTTCGCGCCCGACGTCCTCGCGTGATCCCTTGTTTGAGAGATCATCACATTCAGGCAAGACGTCGTTGGTGTAGGGATCGTCAACACTGGGATAATCGACGCTGGAGCAATGTGATGTTTTCAGATGAGTCAAGGTTCACTGTTGATTTTTTGGACAGACGTAGGAGGGTGTGGCGTCGTCGAAACGAGCGCTTCCAAGACGTTAACGTCATCAGACATGATCGATTTGGGGGTGGTTCTGTTATGGTGTGGGGAGGCATCACTGTTGCTGGAAGAACGGCTTTACATGTTGTTGCAGGGCGTGTTACAGGCCAGTACTACCGGGACAACATCTTGGCAGTCCATGTTGTGCCGTTCACACGACGTCATGGCCGCCGTTTCATCTTCCAGGATGACAACGCAAGATGTCACAGGGCCAGGATCGTTACAGGTTACCTCCAACAACAGAACATCACCACATTACCTTGGCCAGCACTGAGTCCCGACCTCTCCCCCATCGAGCATGTCTGGGACATGCTTGGACAGAGGTTACGTCAACGTCAACAACGTCCTGCCAATGTCCAAGAACTTGCTGCTGCGTTGCAACAGGAATGGGACAATCTGGACCAAAATGACCTTAGACGTCTCATTAGGAGTATGCCACGTCGGATCAATTCTTGTTTGGCAAACAGAGGAGGATTTACCCGTTACTGCCTTGGTTGTGATGCTGTGGTAACTTTGCTGTTTGACCCCGGGTATCATTTTACCCTTATAATGGTCAGTCTGTGCCTTACTTAGTCTAACGATCATTTGGAATAAATCGATGAATGTGAACTTCATTTCATTTTGTCATTTGTTTCTTCGTCAGTTTCATTAGGTGACTTTAATAACACTTAAAAATCA